GTTTAGAAGGCAAGGGTGCCATCTTGTTCTCGGGCACTTCTGCACGGTAGGACAAATAGGGCATTTCTGTTTTATGGGCCCAGTCGTGGCGTCTCTGAACTCCTCCGTTGCCGTGCTTACGGGAGACAAACCGCTGGTCGGGCTTTCTTGGGACGTACGTCGCTTCATCGTAGCGGTCTCCGTAGCTGTCGTCGTGACGGCGTTCAGGTTTGGCCTCGCGTTGACGCCTCACGTCGACGACGTCGCGGTCGCTTCCATCGTAGAAGAAGTCGCCCCTGGATTTGCGGAAGGATTCCGGAGTTCGAAAGCTGCCGTCCGTGCTGCGCCGTTGCATGACTGCTCGCGCACAGCTTCTTCTCACGCATCACGTGCTTAGTACGTGCAGCGTGACCACTTTATGGGGTGATACTATTATGGCTACTTTTAAAAAGAAGAAGAAGAAGAAGAAGAAGAAGAAGAAGAAGAAGAAGAAGAAGAAGAAGAAGAAGAAGAAGAAGAAGAAGAAGAAGAAGAAGAAGAAGAAGAAGAAGAAGAAGAAGAAGAAGAAGAAGAAGAAGAAGAAGAAGATTATAATGATGATGATGATGACGATGATGATGGATGTACCATCCTGCTTCTCTGTGGTACGTCTTCATGGCAAAAGAAAGAAGAAAAAGCAACGTTATTTATTCAACTTCTTTTAATCGACTTAGATTGCATTTCATGATTTCTAATATTATCTCCTTGGGAGGCTCCTTGTAAGATCGTTGTCACCGGGATATCTGTTCTGTTGTATAAAGATTCTTGATCGAGTCAGGGTTGTTTTGATCGCAAATCTCTAAATTATAGTTAACCTATTTCTTCCAAACATTTTATAATTCAATAGATGTACAATTAATATGTACAATTGTACAATATGTACAATTAGATGTACAATTAATATGTGATTCTATCTAATTATTCGTTTCTTGGCCAATACCCCAAAGTGGGTGCGAACCGTACATACAGGCCCTCACCATCCTCATAGAGGAACGACATGGCTCGACCCTAAGGAGCTTCGCCCCTATGTGTCCCATGGTTTCACTGGCCCTCGCAAAACTTGCAGATTGATGGACAAAATTCTGGCTTATAGAGTCAATATTCCTGGGCTCAGAAACGTTCTGCTTTGAAGTGTTAATCCTTTTCGGTGGGCTAGTTGCCTTAGTATCTTTGTACTGAAAAAAAACAACTCAAGAAGACAGGGACTGCTGTGGCCGCGTGACTGCCTGTTTCTTGATTAATTTATGGTGTGGTGGCTGAAATTTGCATCTGCACAGGCTGCAATGCTGCGTTATATGTCTGAAACTGGTCAAGTGGCCCTTTCACTATCATTCCCCACCCGACGTCACGGTCGAGACGGCGGCAGCGTTGATGGTGGGGGCTCCCGAGCCGCCCCGTGCGCCGCTTCGTCGCTAGCGAGCGAGGTGGTGTGGGCGGGCGCCCGTCATATCTAAAAAAAAGGCGTTACTAGAGATTTTAAATGCAAATGCATTCCTCAGTCGGGCTATGTCAGGCATCCGGCGTTGTCCGCAGTGGTGTCCGCGCGCCGGCAGGTGTTATCTTCCCGCTCCCACTTCCTCTCTCATAGCAACAGCTGCGGGTGCGCGCGCATGTCCTCACCCCTAGCGACCGGAGCATGTGGTGCTAGAGAGTGAAGGAGAGCGTAGGTGCAGTGCTTCGCCGCTCCTTCACTCGCCTTTCGCTCTCTCTCCTCCCTGTGCCCCATTCTCCCGTCCGTTCATACCTCGCACCCCGCCCTTGGACTGCTTCGACCGGATCCCCACTTTCCTATCTCCTTCTTTTTTCTCTCGCTTGGCTGTCTTCTTCTCCGTCTATTTTCCTTCTATTCTTTTTATCCCTCCTTCCCCCACCCCTATAAGGCACTGCGCCGTGTCGCCTGAAGGCAGACAGAAATTAGGTGCCTTTTTCCTCTTCATTCTAACCACTACCACCACCACCATACCTCACTCTCGACCGTTCGCAGGCTAGGTGCCTCTGAAAGACATACGGAAATCTTTGCTCGAGACACTGCTGTGAAACGCCAACGCCGAGCCGAGAATGCTGGCGCCCCACTCTCCCGTCCGCTCACTCCTCAGTTTCGACCGTTCGCTGGCTGGGCGCCTTTCAAGACGATGACAAAAGTCGTTGAAGGCGAATGTCTGACAGCAACGGTACCCTCTTTCGGTGCAAGAAATGCATTCGAATTTCCTTACGATTCCTTTCGGGGAAATGGGGGAAGTGGAAGTCTAGCAGTGCCGGATAACTCGTCCGCAGTAGTCACCACGCCATGCTTTCGGCGGCGTGGTCTTGTTTACAGGGCGCGCGCATGCGCTATTCACACCCGGCAACTATTCCAGTACTCGCAAAGTATTTTTAGTATACTGGTGTACCGGGAAGACTAAGCACTCTGTATTATTCTCGTAACTCGTAACGCATCGGGGGAGACGTGGTCCGTTAACTAAGTTACGAGCTTCTGTCTGGGAGTCGCTGATTACCAACTTCGGCCGCGGTGGTGGCCACCGTGAGCGCGACAGACACTTCCGTCCGCTGTTTCCACAGTGCTCCGCGCGTACCGTGATGCTCGTCTTGCCAGTGTGGTGATCTATATGGCAGATTTAGTTGAGCATCCGCAACAGCTTTATGAACGCAGCCTGTCAAAATGGCTGGCAAGCTGCAGTCCTCAGAGTTGCTGTGGACGTTCAAATAAAGCGCGTGCGTACCTGTCCGTGTCCACTAACACATGTGCTCTATTTTCTCACTTGCCCATGTACTGGTATCCGGAGTTCTGGTTCTTATGCGTGTTCTTCCGCAATTCTACAAGCCTTTGAAACTCGCGCGCTAAGCGATTTGCAAGTGATCGAACGCAATCTTCCTGTGCGTGCAGTGCCCCGAGCCGCATCGGTGCGCTTTGGAGACCAGGTTTCGACTGCTGCTTTTCACGCCTCCTCATCAAACCTCCCTATACCACTACTCAATGACTCACCTCTTACGCCCGTCACTACCTAATAGTCCTGCCACTCCCCCCACTTCATGCAAATTCTACTATATTCAGCCGCCTAAAACATATTTGCGAAGCAAAATGCTTCTTTGAAGCTAACCGCGCTTCGCCCAAGCGCAGTTTTCACGGTAAGTAACTGCATCTCTATTTTCACACTTATATAAGACCTAGACGGTACTACTAAAGTGAAAGCAGCTGATCAATTCCCAACCTTTGGCCTACTACTATACTGACGCAGCAGAACCCGGGACAGACAACCATACATGATAAACCTCCCACTCGACTACACAAGCAAGGTAAAAGTGGTAAAAGAACGAAGGACAGCTCATCGAAATGACGTGGGCATAACACGTTATCCTTAGCTAGGACACACGGAGATAGTGCCCGAACATGTTTTGCAGGGCCGAAATGTCTACGGTATACCCCACAGAAAAGGGACACTAGAACCATGGCTGACAACAAATATGAGCGCATTGACGCATCGTATAATGCGCCACCTTTGTGGTGGCGCCTAATGGCTGTCTGTACAAAGGGGTCCTAATAGCTGGATCAGCCAAGATTCACATGGCCTGCAGAAACAAACGGATTTCCTACCTCCTACAAACAAACAAAAAAAAAACGTCACACCGATTCGTGTGAACGGACAACCGTTATTCTACACGCAGAACCGCAAGAGAAAATGTTGATTGACTTCGCGAAGTTCAGCAGTCTCTAAAAGCTTCTGCGCGTCACAGCTTAGGTCTTCCGATTCGTGAATCAATGTCACAGATGCGCAATAATTAGGCCGCAATTTCAGCAGAAAAGATAGTCGACACCGAAAGTTTTGTATTTCTCGCGTACAACCAGAAGCTTTCCTCACGGACTTACAGCATATCATTAACAGACTCGGCAGGTGAGACTTTTAAGCCCGCAAGTCCTCTACTGGTCCATTTGATCATATCATCGAGCCACCGTACGCAGTTAAGCAAGCTCCTCCTAAGGACTCGGAGAGGAAAACGACACGTACACCGCTGGTCTAGCCTCCTTTCTCTGGTAGATCAAATTTTGCGCCAAAGGAACCATGTAAGTCAGAGCCAACCAAAGAGGTTAAAAAAAAAAGAAAACTGCAGGAGTGGAAGCTCCCGCAATGCTTTACCAGCAATAGTGAAGCCAGGTTTTGCCCTTCAAAGATCTCAGAAGGATGACTAGTTTCTGATGGTGCCCATTTAGACATCAAGTGGCTTTAACCTGTTAGTCGAAAGGCGACGTTAATAATAAATTGAAAGATAGTTGTTTCTGATGAAGTAACCCACAGAGACGAGTATCAGTGACTAAATCTCCAATAACATTTGCCTTGAATTTGAGGCTTACTAAAAAAAAAACTGGTAACAGAAGGACGCACTTTGGGCACTTTCTGACCATAAAAGGTTGACGCGGTTGCTGGGCGTGTGGGGAAAAAACACTCCTTCTCCGAGCGCAAACGCCGACAGCTCATCATGACCTCAGTAAGGTGGCGCCTGCCGCAGCCGCCATCTTACAATGGGTACGTCTTCACTCGTGGGCGATAATTTTCACTCCAGCGATTTTTCTAAACCTCATTGCAGCCAAGAGAGAGCATCCACGTTTTTGTCGTGCTGCTACTTGACGAGCAAAAAAGTAGTTTGATGTATATCAAGATAGCATCATAGAGAAATCTATGATAGCATTGACTACTTCTCCCAGATCTTCAGAATGATTCTGGGTTCCGCTTTTTCGCTGTAGTAGCACGAACCATTAACTATCATCAGAGTAAGCAGCATTCTAATACCGCTTGTTTCATGCTGCTTGCCCGGCCCCTGTTTTAGTGTACGGTGTTCCACTTGTGAACCAACAAGCCTAAGCTACTGACCACCATACTTCCACAAATGTAGTAACTGAAACCGAAACTAGCTACTAACTGAAACCGGAAGCCAGACCAAGTTTGGTAGCCGATCGTAGCCGCTGGAACGCACATGGCCACGCTTTGCGCACGACCCCAAAAGCAGCGCCAACAGCTTTGTTGGTTCGCCGACCGGTGTTTCTGCTATCTCACCTCCTGTCGCGACTTTGCGCATCCGCCGTTTCGTCCATCGCCGTCGCGCGGCTTTCGATCAGGGTTTCGAAAGCGTCGTCGCAAAGCATACGAGGAGGAAAAGGAAAAGCACATATGCTCGTTGCTCTCGCAGGGATCGCCAGACTCACGAGCAGAGTCGGAGCATCGGCGTCGCACTTCGCCGGCTTATCTGGTGCGAGAAGAGCTTGTTTGACCGCGGTCTTATCCGGACTTCGACCACAGCAGGCGATCCTATCGGCCAGGTGCTACTGCTGAGTCGTCGTCGCTAGCCTTGAACGTCGCTCGAAGTCGTCGCTCGGAACCAAACGCCTTCAGTATGGACGCGGAGAAAGGCACCGCCCCCGGAATTCTCAGGGCATGGGACTTCGACATTTCTCCCGAAGACCTGCACATCAGGGCGTCCAAGATCATGGACGAGTGCCGCAAGATCTGCGAGAAGGTCGGCGCACTGCAGGGCGACGAGATCACCTTCGAGTCCGTGCTTGGGGTGAGTGCGAGTGAAACTACCGAGTGATGACGCGTGGCCGGGTTGACAGAACACGGGGATCGATCGCCGCGTGATTCTACGCTATTGTCGACTACAGCAGTTCTAAGGAATACATCCGCATACTAAACGAAAGGTGGACTAACGATAGTAATATGACCAGTTGAAGCTTCTTCGCTACCGATCGCGATTGGCGGCTACCGATGGCGATCGACGGCTGCCGATCGCGACTGGCGACGAAGTTTCCCAATCAATCTGTCGTTGCGCGTGCGGCATAAAAAATTGTGGGGACAGTGGTCGCTCTTCACTTGGAAATACATAGCGCTGCAATTGGAAACCCGATTTCAGTTTAACTATCTCTCGGTAGTACACGTGTGCTAAGCGGCATGGGTGCCAATTACATTCCTAACGCCGCATCAATTTGCGCAACTGGCTGTCGTGTCAACTTTGATGCCAGCTGTGCAGAGGCGACGCCCGAATTTCCTCGCATACTCTGTACAGCAAGTGTTCGGTTTTAGCGCGCTACAGACGTGGCGACGTCGAAAGTTTCGTGGTAAACAGGTCATCCTAAAATGTGTTGTAATCGCAGTCCTGTTCAGCATAAACTGATTTATAGAGAGGCTCTTAAAGAGTGTACTTTGCGTTGAAACTTCTAAGACAGCGATACTAGTTTGCTGTGATTATAAAGGTGTCTTAACAGCAACAACTTTGCTGTTCAGGTCCCAACGTGAATGTGTGCAAGTTTAGCTTTGCGGCGCTACACAGCTCATTCCTGCGTGCCTTAAATTTGCACGGGGTGCGAATTAGAGAAAGCAGCAGCATTTTCCAAAAGATTTCAGCAAGAAGTTTTGTGTCATCTCATCGAGTAAACACATATCACAGCCTGTAAGACAGTGATTGGAGTTGTTTGTGAGGCACTACAACGGCATTTGCACGTGAGCGAACATGCATTTGCAATGTTGTACAACTGTGTGTAAGAACACTGTGCACTCATGCATAGGTCAGAAGAAACTTGTGGAGCTCACTCACGAAATATATTTTGCGCCTAGGACTCGCTTGGACTCAGACTCTCCAAAATTTTTCACAGCCGAACTCGCCCGAACTCGCAGTCGCGAACATTTTTCTTGAAGCGTACTCATTTTATTTTTTATTTTATTTTATTGCAAATACTGCAGGCCCGTTTGTGGCCCAAGCAGGAGGGGCAATTGGCATTACACATAACACTGTTACACATACATACAAAGAATAAAAACAATAACAATAAAAAGGAGTACAATGCAGATTGGTCAAGGCATAGCACACCATACAATGCATATACTTAGCGATAGATGCTTTCCTGTCCACTTGGACTCAAACTGACTGAAGCATGGCTCACCCGGACTCGCTCAGGCTTACTGCTCGATCTTAGTCGGGGTGAATCCGAGTATGTTGACACTCGAGCCTGTTAGCCTACAATTATGGTTTTTGACCATGATGTGAATGCTCTATAACACCAATATCTCACTTAATTAATGCTCTTCTTGGCGCCTTTTGATATAGCACCTTTGAATACGAGCCAAGAGTGCTCGTAAACTAGTAAGGTCATTTTTATTGAAAGAAATGGAAGCGTAATGTATATTTATCAAAAACTTCATTGGAAGAGTTAGCGGGAGGGGAGTAAGACGAGGCCATAACCTACATCATTCGCACCTTTGATCAATGAATATTGAAATGTTGTAATGGTGTATGAAAGACCCTGCTTCGAAATATGTGCGAGTAGACATGAGTATAAACGTGAATGCATGTATGACATAGTAAAGGCTAGAGATCTGTAGATATGACAATAGATCTGCAAAAATGTGGAACTCACTCAGACTCTCTCAGGAAATGTATCTTGCGTTTCGGACTCACTCGGACTCTCCGAGATTTTTTCTAGTCGTACTTACTCACTCACACTCGAAAATTTTCAACTGGACTTGCTCAGACTCTCGTCTCGATCCGAGCTTGAGCGACTCCGAGTGTGTCAACTCACGAGTGAGTTCGCCGACCTACGCTCGCATGTGTGAACCTTTGAACAACTTTCAAAGACACGCTGCGTGATCAGTAGAGTCAATTTAGGTCAAACTTTTACTGAAGGTATTTTATATAATTAAGGGCAACCTTGGGCAAAGTAACCTTTTCTTTGATATTCAAATAAAGTGCTTTTAACAATTCTAAGTTCTCTTCAAACGTTTCTTTTGGGCTCACATGTGGAATTTGTGCAACTAAGATTATATTTAGGACATGGTACATTTTAGTTGTGTCTGTTTTACCGATCGCTGCTAATGTTGGCGAATTTGGGAAATGTAAACTATGTTCGTAGACCTGGCATATGTGTAATTGATCTCTGAAGACTGGCTAATCATCATAAACATTGTTCTTTATGTCTTTTGTATGCCCAATTTTTTGGTTGTGACTCCGCTTTTCTCGTTTTGCAGGAAATCGCTGAGGGCCAGCGTATATTTGCCAATGAGAGGCTCTACCTCGACCTGCCCATGTATGTTTCAGCTAAGAAGGAACTCCGGGACGCCAGTGCCGAAGTGTCGAGCAAGCTCAATGAGTTTGAAATTGAGATCGAGTGAGTTGTCAGCTTGTACACCATAGTTGAGTGTTTGGCCTCGGTCTGTGTGCACCTTGCTACATGTCACCCATGAAAGATAAAATGATAACACATGGACACACACACACACAAAAATTGTTTTAACCCAGCTTTCTTTTCTTCAGCCCTTCTGTTACACATCATCTGCTTGCATATGCCATTAATTTAAATAATTTGTTCTTTTGGGCAAAACTTGTTCAAACCTTTACCTCTCTCTGATAAGCTGTTGGCAAAAGGATGCTAGCTAGGCCACCATTGTCACTTAATGTTCTCGAGTGCTATTGTCTAAACACTTCCTAAATAATTTAAATGGACATAAATTCAGACAGTTCTGGGAGTAACTTGGTCAGTTGATTTGCAGATTCCCTCTTATCACTCCCACATGCTACGAATTTTTTAATTCAGACCCTTACACAGATGTAGTAATGACTACTCCATCCTTAGTGACTGGTTACGGAGTTTTTAACGGTTGCACTTCCACGTAATTGTACTCAATTTTTCTCTTGGAAAGAATAAATTCTCTGTATCGGCGCTGGGAATTGGATTAAATTTTGAGGTTATACTTGCAAAAACCGTCATAACATTACACTGCATGCATAGTGGAGGACTCTGTATTTGAAAGCGTACAAAGTACCCCCCCTCCCCCCCTTCGTTTTTTTTAAGTACTACTCTCAAAGCACTACTCTACTTGCTTTGACCACCTTGAGTTCTTTAACATTTACATAAATCTAAGTTTTTTTCTCTTCTTTAACTCCCAAACAGCATGCGGACCGACATCTTTCAGAAGCTGCTGGTGCTGGAGAAGAAGGACACCAGCTGCCTTTCGCCCGAAAGGAAGCGTTTCCTCGACAGGCTCATTAAGCTCCGCAAACGAGACGGTGAGTGGTGGAAAGGGGCACCGTGGGACTTGGCTCATAGTAATAGTACTTCGGCCTGCAATCAGCTCTACAGTACTCACAGTCAGCTTTTTGTTACATTAAGTAGGAAAAATGGCGCTTAAAATCGAACGAGTACATGTGAAACACGACACAGGCGCTATTTCGTGTCTTCTCTTGCATTCGTCCATTTTCAAGCACTGTTTCTCTTACTTAATGATGAATCGCCAGCTAGCCTAAGTTGCTCTTCCAGTTTCACGTTACAATGTACGAAAAGCTAACGAGGCAGAGCTCTGGAAGAAACCCTACTGCACCCGATTAGTGTGGCGGTGCTTGAAAGGGTTCTCTGTTTCTTCAGAACAGACACTGAATCAGCATAGCTTTTGCGTTCAGTGGGTTACTTTTGCCTTAACTTGGAACATATTAAACGGAAGAGTAAGTCAGAGGGAATATTTGATATGGTAATCTGTCGGATTCGTTTGCTGTTGTAACTAGAATGTTTTCTCTTGTTGTTGGCTTCAAGGAGATGTGAGTAATAATGCGAAATCTTTCTCGGGAGCAGTCTTGCTTTGGCAGACGTTGCCTCTTTAATTTATCATGCAATGCCAGAGAATGTTTGTCAGTATAGTGGTTGCGATTCCTTTCGGGGGGGGGGGGGGGGAGGTGCGGCGGTGGAAAAGAGATATTGAGAGAGAGAAAGGCAAGAACAATGAGAAGAATTGAATGTCATAAATGTGCACTGCTCCTTATTGCAGTGATGTGCAACTGGTTTTTTGTTGTCAGTATAATAAACTACTGGCTCCCGTAGGTTACATAGCAGCTGGAAATGCATTGTGTAGGCGCTTGATACTGGCTGTGGTGGAGCACTAAATATTGCAGAGCAGCAAGTAACCTATAGATACCTCTTGACTGTTTGCGAGCAGTTTTGTGCTTGCATGCTTTTAGCAGAGATTTTCTCCTCATTCTGACCAACTTTCACGGAGAGAGCGACATTTATGTCTTGTGGACGCCCGCTCACTCTTCCTTTCCGGGCAACGAAACCATGCACACCCTAGCTCAAGAGTTAGTGAGCCGAGCAGGTGCAGGAATGACGTGAAGCCTGCGTTGTGGAGAGAGAGCGCATGGTCTCGTACAATGAAATCACCAAACACTACCGATTAGGGAGGCAGCATTACCCTTCACCGCATTCCTTATTAAATAAACAGCAGGCGACTGCATGGCACCTATTACAAACAAGTACATTCCCAAGCTCAATAGCTTACAGTCATTGCTATCCAGATGTCTACTCCTACAGATGTAAAGTCTGCAGTCAGTGGGAAGACCTGAAACACATTATCGGGGCATGTCCTAACCTCGTGAATGGGCCAAGCACAGCAGCGGGAGACCGCGCTGCTTAGCGCAAACGTCCAGGACCAGCTACAAGTGGTCAGGCAAGCCAAAGATGCTACTTGGGCTCAAGGACTCTTAGCTACCATCTAGGGGAAAGAATATAATTCCTCTGAAGCTTGCCCTTTTGTTTAAAGTTTTCTCTCTCTCTCTCCCCTTAAAAAATGCTGGCAAGTAATTCGTAAAGTGCCTCCAATTACTAGTGTCATTGGTCTGTGGGGCTTTTGCAAGACAATGCGAGATGTTGCTGTATTTTGTGAAATTCTTATTTTGCATTCTAAATGGAGTATAAGTTGGAGTGATGCTGCAGGGAAGATCGTGAAGAGTGTAGCGAGCTTTGTGCGTGTTGTGATCTTATAGTCTAAGTTATCCAGAAGGCAGTTGTGCCTCTGAGCATTGTCTAATTTTCTTCTTGAACGGCTATATTAGAACTGGTTTTCCCAACAAAGCAGCTTTAAATAGGCAAATCGGCACTTGTCATTTTATAGTGCCTAATCCTGCAGATCAGTATAGCTTTTGTTAGGTAGCCAAGATGTTCAGCACTACGGAGACGCACAGCAGAGTTTCCAGAGGCTGCCGAACTAACAAGCAGATGGTATTCAATAAAGAAGCCCCCAAAAAGTGGCGCGTTTTTTTGCAAAGAAGTGGAAATTCAATGATTTCTCCAATTTTTGGAAATGTTTTTAACTCATATAATGAAATTTCATGAGAGCTGAAACTGTCACTAATTACTTTGTATGACAAAAGTATGTGCAACTATGAAAGAAAGAACCTATTTACTTTTCAGCTGTCTCCAAGGTAGTCTACATTTGATTGAATGCACGTTTGACAGAACATAATTAACTTAACTGGCTGATTCCTCGAGCATATGTTTGACTTCAACACTTAACTACTGAATGTTGCCGGTAAATGTGCTATTAGTGAAGGGCAAATTTATTGGTGAATGTGATGACCACTAAAATAAGTATATATACTGGAAAAACGTAAATGAGGCCGAACAATTCGTCAGGTGACTGGAAGATTCTGCTAGTGTCTTTGTGAAAAAAGAATCCCAAATTCGCTTATCATAAGTGGAACCGGCAACTTTGGCTGACAGCCAAAACAGAGCAGGTTTATTACGAAGCAGTGATGGACGTCATAACACTTACTAGCAAAGCTACAGGCCTGAAAGGTGTAGTTATGCCTATTTTAGAAGCTGAGTTTACACTTGTACAAATCTCTTACATACAGAGACCACTCTAACTAGCATTAAGCTCTGTAAATGCTGATAAGCTACACTCGAATCTCATTATGGTGTAGCTTCATCTTACATGAAAATAATTTTGTTATATCAGAAAATTTTATATAAAGATGTATTTCTAACACTTATCTATTACAGGACTATTTTTCATTTACCGTAACATCTGAGTTCGTCATATCTAGATTTGAGTGTATTTCATTTTTATATAAAAGTCAGTTTTCGCATAGGGCACCTAGTAACGTCGACACTGCTGTGACGTTAGGCTACAGTGTCTATTATGGCAACTTCACACACACCAGACGATCTAGTTGTGGTGGGGTCAGGTATCAGAACATGCATATAGCCGCTTGGGCATCACCAGAACATTCATTATGGCTGCACGCGCATTGCCTACCTAGCCACGCAGCGGAGAGGCTGTGTAAACGTCATGATCTCTCATGTGAGCACGTTGTGAGAGGCTTGTACCATGTTGTGACGTCGGGGTACGGTAGGAACCGAAACAAATTTTTAAAAGCATGTCATGAATAATTTTTCAGTGTGCACTCGCACTTATTAGTAAATGTACTGGACTCGTCAGGACCTTGTCTTTCATACAACAACAAAGAAATAAAAACGATTGAAAATTTTGCATTTTGTTTTTTCTGTTGCAATAGGTAGTCAATAACCCACGTATCACATCTGGAAAGCTCCTTTGCTTGAGCACACATCGATTAATTACTTGAAGACTGTTTTATAGTTCTCAGTTGCAATTTCAGTTTCAGAGCTCCCCAAATGATGTGGGACCCAGAGTAGTGTATGTGCAATATGTGGCTGGCTACCTGAGCACGCAAAATCGCATACGCATGGGATACCTGAGCTCCACATTGACTTTTTATCAGTGAAGGCTTCCTGGGTGCTGCTACACAGTGGAACCCTTTTATAAGAGACCCTGATATAAGAGATAAATGGGTATAAGAGACATTAGTGTGCCTACAGTAAAATACGGGTCGATAAGAAAGTGCATACGAGGTACCCTGCTTAACAGACATCATTCATAAAAGCCAATAATTACTGCCCGGAGCATGCCTCTTATAAAGGTGTCTAAATGTAATCTCCTTCGAGGCGATGTAAACATGCGTAACCCCCGCAAGTGCTCTGTGGAAGCAAGGACGTCGGCATTTGTGCTCCCATGCAAGTCTGCCCCTATCTTTCTGTTGAACATGTCTGCCAGGAGAGAGTGCTTGCAAGGATCATGGCAGCCAACACACACTTGTGATGCAGGGGGCAGTTGGAGGTTTACACAGAAACCGATGGCAGGTTTTGCATGCAGTGGTGCGATACTTACTTCGAGATGGATTTTAAATACATTCTAAGCTATACAGTAGGTTTGCGATAATTCAAACTCTGAAAATTCATACTTTTAGTTAATGCAAACAAAATTCAATTTCTTGGTTGGTCCTCTATACTTTCAATGTATTTAAAAGCCTCTTAATTCAAACTCATCATTTGATTAATTCATACTTTTTGCAGTTTTATACAAGAAAATATCTGCTGCTTTCCCGCTACTATTTAAAAATTTGCATGCTCATATAAATCTAACAGTCTGAAAATGACGAATACGCACCTTTGGCCTTTGAGGAAAAAGGCTTTGCGAGTAAACAAATGTTTTAGACAAAGCACACGCGCAACAAACTGTGATGCATCTCAACTGGTATAGAAAGGTTTGTGCTGAAGGCACATATAGCAAAGAAGCAGTTGGCCATTCATGATTTCCTTAAACGGTCTGATCAGCAGTAAATGTCCAATAAACTTGCGGACCTTACACCTCTGATTTCTTTTTATTGGATGTAGTTAGGTTTAAAAAAAATTTTTAAATGTGATAAAATTAATACCTAGTCATAATGTGTGCTGGCAGCTAGCCCAGATTTATACATATGAGAACTTCTGAGAGTTCAAACTTCTTGATAACTCAAACAAAATTCAGAGGTCCCTTCAAGTTTGAATTAACGAGAGCCGACTGTATTATTCATTTATATGTCTTAGATGACGCATCTGTGTCCACGCATATGTATCCCACAAATTATCTCGCTTTCAAAATTTTGCATCGTTACTCCTTCAAGAGGCTGGCTCGGGTCATGATGCACTTCTGGGCTTTTTCAGGTCTCCACCTGGATGCAGAAGTGCAGAAAAAGGTGAAGCAACTGAAGAACGACATCAGCGAGCTCGAGGTGAAGTACAACAAGAATTGCAACGAGGAAAACACGGTGCTCGAGTTCACCGACGAGCAGCTTAAGGGCATGCCCGAGGACTTCATCAAGAGCCTCGAGATGGTGCGTTGATCGTTTAGTCTTGCAGTAGTTGGTGTGGCTCCTGTCGCGATTGTGCTTCAAGAAGTACTGGAAGCAGCAGCGGAGAGTCGTAGCTTTAATGTTTCGGATCGTACTTGAGGTAGTGGTAGGCCTGGTATCAGGATTAATAATAGTAGTAGCTACAATAGTAGATGCAGCACTATTCCTAATATTGTAGCCATCTGTTATTATACATTCATATTGCTATAGTGTGATACAGCTTTAGAAGTCAGCGGCGTTACACTGCTCGAAAACGGATGCATACAAGCCTACACCAACGGGCTCACACTCCCGACTAACATCATGAGTTGGACGCCCAATGACCCCACCTTCAGAGAGCTTTGCTAAGTGCACAGCACAGGACTTCTTCGGTACTTGCGGAGGTGTTCAGCTATCGCGCTTCGGTCCTCTGAGCTTGGCCTCTCCTGACTTCTTAATGTATCCGATTATAGTGAAAACGCTTATACACTATAAAGGAAGTCACAGGACGACTTCTTATACACTAATACACAACTAATATGCTTATCTTAACTTGCTTATCTTCTATCTTAACTCTGCTTATCTTAAGTAGCCTATCAGCTTGTTTTAGCAATGTTCCTCGTCCTGTTCATCACTGTGCACATCATCATACTACTAGCCTGGTTTCACACCCTGAGAATGCAGCAAGATCGTTTCGCAGATGCTCAGAATGTTGCTCAGGTATTTCAGATGCACAGTGTCACGTTTAATGTGGTGAATTTTCAGCTTAGTGTACTGAGGCAATTGGTGTAAGTTGTGTAATTCCTTTCCCCTAGGTTGAGTCTGGCAAACGCAAGGTGACGCTGAAGCACCCGCACGTGATGCCCATCATGAAAATGGCCGCTGACCCAGAGACTCGCAAGAAGGTCAACTTTGCTTGCGAATCCAGGTGCGAGGGCCTTTGTATTTGCATACATCCCTTCACATGTGCTCGTCATTTACGTTTGTACAGGCATCTGCTTTGTACTAAAGCCTGCACATTTTTTTTCCGTCCACGTATGTGTGGGTGCGATTGTGCACATTTCCACACAGCTGGTTTGCGGTCCTTATCTCGAGACACGTCCTGAGATATGTCCTTGAATATTTTGGACGAGTCAAGGATGAAATGTGTCTGTAAAAAAGCTAGCCAAAGAAAGATTGAGGTGACAAATGTGTCTCAGTACCTAGACATGAAATAATAAATGTCCTGACAGAACCACCTAAGGTTTTTGCCTTTGTGCTAAAAGCAGCCACTAAAGCTTTTAATTGAGAATACAAATAATAATATAATAGTGTATATAATACTAGTAATTAATATAATATGGTAATTCAAATGTTGTTGCTTCTAAGACTACAGGTCAGGTAGCCAACATATGGCAAGAGGAGCCAACATTCAGCAATTGCTTAGTCAAAGTTAGCCGCTACTACTCAGTGTTGATAGAACGCGAATGAGTACACCGGGCTGGGACACGATCATTCGCAGTTTATAGACCTCTGGGGGTGAGTCCTTTCTAGTTATCGAGTCGCTTTAACAAAAAAAAAATGGTATGTGTGGGAATTAAACAAAAATGCTAAACTGCTTCTGTGATCATGCTCCCACAACACAGCATTGCGCTTGCTCAAAAAGTTTGAATTTGCCTTTGGGCAATTAATGTAGTAAAACTGTGAAGGTTACTGGTTGGTGCTAGTTGGTAGGAACTCAAAGTGCAGTCACTTGCGCTCGTTTAAGAAATTTACCCCTATCCCACATTCGTAAGATGAGCACAAGAGACAATAATACAAATTCTATGTTTTTATTATCACATTAACCTCGAATTTTAGCATACTAATAAAAACCACCACAAACCATCATCAAAACTTCTTTTTTTTGTTTGTTTGTCATGAAAGAGTAATGAAAAGGCACCTGTGGTAGAACACAACTACGTAAAACCAAAATTTTAAAAAAAATTACAGCTTCGCTGCTAGGGTGATGTAACAAATGTGATAGCAACAGATTGTAATGCTGTACGAAGATAGGCTGGCAGCTAATTCTTGTGAATCCAATCTTGCGCATCTCTGCAAAATGCTGGTGTAAAGGACGCACGTTCCAGGGACACTTTTTGCACAGCCTCTTATAAGAGTGCAGCTTGTAGAACGGTGTACAAGCAACTTACTGACGGCTGCCGAGATGGTGTGCGCACCCGTGAACGCAGGCCACACCTGTAAAATCAAAGTTCACAGTTGCCGCTCGAGCAACCTCTTCTGCTCCCGTTCTTTCAGGCTCGTTAAATGATGGATGGTACATTTTCTCTCTGCTTGAAAATTCGACAGATGGTCTAACACGCAAGGGTGACCTTATCGCACGCGCATTCCGAGCGACAAAGTCGAGCCAGCACATCTGATCCCTGCTTCAGCTGTGTTTGTCGCCCCCGCTCATGTGAGATTACCCGAACGTAGAATGTGCCAAGGGATCTTATCAACTTGGACTTTATACGGGGCGTGATGGCAACGGCAAAAACCTGTTTAAACTGTCCATGTAATTACTATCACTATAAAACGTTTCATTCCAACACCCTGCGTCAAACTATTTTATTCTTTTTGCAACTCGTGCGTGATAATAGCAATATGTGTTTGGTGCAGCGAAAGTCACAGGGTGCAGCAAAAGCCACGAATGTACTTCTGCACATTCGTATGCTGGACAGCTTGTAACGCCCCACTACATCATCGTCACATTTTCTTAGCCAACACGCCGCGCCTCTCGCGCAGCAGGTATAACTCGAGCTTCGCAAGGACAGATCGTGCTCACGGGCCTGGCGGTTTGGGACGCTCAAGCTGCCGTTGCTCCGCTACGGCAAATCGCCTTGGATAATAAAGTAGCGAAAAAACGACACGACCACGTTGGCCGCCGTCCCGTCTTTCTCTCTCGCTACATTCGCAGCAGCCTGCGTCCCGAATAAAGCCTTGACCTCGGCATGGGCTCGTCGCGACCGTCTCGCCACTCCTTCTCGACAAGCTTATTAATGTGTCTAACAAGAATGAAGCATCTCCTTATAGATGAAGAGTGTCAGTTTCCTAATGGAAGGGGAGATGGGTGTATGCACGTTGTTCCGAGGTTTGCTACTCACATCTGGCAGCGTGAGGCAATTTAAAAGTGTGTAGTGTTGCACACTATCGTGAGAGTGTCAAAAGAGCTTGTTTCGCAGAAATTCCAGTGTTGGCATCGAGGTGGGTTGTTGGTCGTGAGCGACGGCAATGTCCGTGAGTAAAAGGATCGAAATAGATAAAAATAAGTAAATAAATGAAAGTACAGTTCGAGGGAGGTAGAGTCGCTCCCAAATTCGAAATTGTTTAGGAAAAAGACACTATGTGAATGTTAAGTAGTGCGAGGAGGGTCATTAAAACGCGTAATATTGCATGGCCAAAGTGTAAAATTTCAGTGAGCCTAAAAACATGTGAGCTGTACAAGGCGTGAGTGGTTTTAACCCCTAACAAAGTGCTTTGGCATGGTTGATCATCATCATCATCGGGAAAAAAACGTGAACGAAGGGGCCAGATGTGCAGGTATAGGTATATAGCGAGCACATTGTCAATTGGCAAAAGAGAGTTATGTCGTAATGGCTGATCCCCACCTGTGCTTGTGGTAGGCATTCTAGGATTGCTTAAAAGGGCCTATGTTACACGCACAGATGCTTCTGGCATCACTGGGGTGTCTATTGAGAAGCTAAGGTAGGCTAGTGAGGAGGCAATGTCTACGGGTCCTGGTTATGCTATTGCATTCTTCTCTTGAAGGCAAACGCTCCTAAGAGACGCCTTCATTTTTTTTTTGCATGCCCATATTGCAACCTATAAATCATGGCTATTTCTTGCAGAACAAAATTTGCCATTATCTTGTATTCCGTGTTGTATGCACTCATAGTTTTTCAACTTTTTCCCAGCATGATCTAGCATGATGTCTGTGTACCTGTAATTTTAATGCCGTTGGTCGTATGTGGTTTGCCATCGCCCTCTGAGTGACTGGCGAAATTGCTTCTGCCTGAAAGCTTCTTACCGATCACCAATGACTAATGGTGAATTTCGAAGAAAATTAGGTATACTAGGATAGAGCAAGGAGTAAAATACACTCAAACGTCAATCTAAAGAACCTAGATATAACAAAATTTTGGTTATAACAAAGTAAATGAAGCAAAATCTTCCAATAGATATAGCTTTAGGAATATACTTCTATAACGAAATTTTCATTATAACAAATTTATTTTCATGTAAGATGCAATAGTTGTAATGAGGTTTGAGCATACATAAAATGTAATGACAGCTGACTTCTCGTGCCCAGTATGTGCAGCAAAAAGAAAGAAGCTGTGAAAAGCCCTACCGTCACGCCAAGAGTATATTCAGTCTTCATTAGACACGAGCGCAAATGCTTGGTTCACATGCAGTAATGGGGTTGGTTGTGCTGAAAGAAAAATCAAGATGACAGTAACCAACATACAATTTGCATTCATTGTATATTCAGGTGCGTTACGGAGAACATACCCCTGCTTGAGAAGGCCATATCTCTGAGAGACCAGGTATGTACTACTTGCTGGTTCCAGTTTATAGATAGCAGTAGTGGCCTTGGAGTCATGTTCCAAGTGTGAAGAGAAATAAATGCTTCTTGTGATGCGAGTTGAAAAAAAAAAAAATGCGAACGCGGGTTGTCGCTGGGGTCGATGTTCTGACAAGTGGACTTGTCTTCGTTACGACAGCGACTGCTTTCCTCAGCGCGTGTATATAATATGCTTCGCACAGTCTCCTTTAACACTTCGTTCAGTTTCGAGGAAGGGGTACAAAGCATAGAGTACATACATGCACTAAGGAAAGCAGTTGCGGTTTTGGAGAAAACAAGTCTGCCTCTCCAAAGTTTGGTATCGCGACGCACCATGTTCACAAATTTTTCATCGCTTCAGGCTTCCACCTTCTCCAAAACTTTCACTTTATTTATTTGTTTATTTTTGTGGTTCGAGTGCAGCCCTCTGTGCAGTTGTTGGGGAGACACTGCTATGTTTATCTATAATATCCTTCTTCACTGTTTTCAGAAAGCCCAAATACTCCACTATCCTACTCACGCAGACTACATCACCGAGCTGCTGATGGCGCGTTCGGCCGCCAACGTGAAGCGCTTCCTCACTGAACTGGCCGACAAGCTGCAGCCACTGTGGGCGAAGGAAAAGAAAGTTCTGCTCGAGCTGAAAGAGGAAGAGGTGGGTTGGTTCTGGATTTCAGAATTGCTCTAGCATTATTATGAATGAAGGTTTGCCATAGTGTTTGCGTAGTGTGCATTTGAAGCGGTACTTACCTGTGTATCAGCCTATGGAATGATCGGGACAGCAGTCCGGTGCCCGAAACCATAGTAGGTCGCTGAGAACGAAAAAAAAAGAAAAATCTAAGCTCCACTCATTAACTATGGCACACCTGCCCTTTTCCTGAAACAGTCGTGCTACAGAAGGTTGAGCTACAGTCGTGCTACAGATTTTGCGATAACGCATAACACGGCACAAGAAGCAGATTGGACATGCGTTTGTTATCGTGGTATCGTTTCTGATGCAAGATGAACTACCAACATGCCCAAACGTCACCTGTTTTGAACAATTGTGCTAGCTGGTTTCTGCTCGAACCCTGATACTTTTTTTTAGTGTAACGTAAGTACTGCATATGTTAATAAATGAAGGTTCGTCATTAATGCCTCAAACATTGTTTTACGAGAGATGAGTGATTGATTTCGAGTGGACCTTGAAATTCTAGGCCACATGATCCACTGTGTTTGGCTTGCACGTTCTCAGTAAGCTCGACTACTAATCAGCAGCATTTTTCTGACGATGCTCAAAAAGTATTGCAGAGCCTCATTAAGGACCTCTGACTCCAAAATTGAAACCTCAGATGCTTGAGGCCTGTGTGCACGCATTAAGATTAGGCTTGTGCGAATAGTGAATTTCAGTGTCGAAGCGAATTCGAAGCGAATAGTGATTTTGGTCGAATAATTTCGAATCGAAATCGAATAATATGTATGACATATAAAAAACGGGAATATTTATCATAATTTAATTAACCTGCACGATATTTCTTTTTGAAATGAAATAGAAGCTCTATGCAAATGCCTTTTTTTTTTTCGTTGAAAGGAAGTCGAAACAACCTTGATTAGTAGTTTCGGTAGGATCTGAGTGATAACCTGTAAGATACATAACGTTTTAAAATTTATTATACTTAAATCATATAAACCATCATAACAAGCTTAATAAAATGGATTGATTTGAGGGTAACATGCTCCTTTAAAGGTGCCCTGCAGCACTTTTTCAAGTATACATGGAGCCAGTAAAAATGCTTGTCGTCTCATAAATTTACTGCCGCAAAGTTTCTAGAATCCGTCCAGTACGAGCGCAGTTCCAAAAATTTGTCGCATGCTGCAATTGCATTCTCCATTCTTGACCCGTCAAAAGGTCTGGAAGCTCAGTAGGGAAGGATGGCACAAGAACAGAAAAAAACGTCATGAGCGCCTAGCGACCTTGAGCATCTTTTCTCTTTTTTCTTCGAATACGAGGCCTTTCAGTGCGATCCTGTGCATACTTGTGGACAAGCGGCGGCCTCACGCGGTGGTCCGATAACGACGAGCGCGCCATGCTCAAATCAGCCAATGATTGTGACCAGAGCCGTATTTTCTTTCTTGGCTGTGACAAGTGATTTTTGAGCTTGTAGTGTCATTTGCTGAGGGAAGAGAGCAATTTTTAGCTTTGAAAGTTTATTGTGAATTTCAGGCCGCGTGCTGCGCAATAATACTTGCCTCGCGTGTTCTCGGTAGCCTCTACTACCGATCGGCAGCGTTTTCTGACCATGCTCAGCAAGTGTTGCAGGGCCCCTTTAAATCTAAAGGGGGGCTTCGCGGCAAAGCAAATTTCTCCTGAGTAGGTTCTTTTACGGCTTCGCATTACTACATTGCAGTGAAACCACCTTGACAGGCGGACTAATGTACATTTATTTGTTTATTGTGAATACTTCGAAAATATTCGATAATTTAAATTCGTATCGAAGCAAATTCGAATACTCACCTGTTCGTTCGAATATTCGAAGCATTCGAATATTCGCACAAGCCTAATTAAGATTCATCTTAAAGAACCCCAGGTGGTCGAAATTTCCAGAGCCCTCCACCACTGCACCTCTCATAACCATATAGTGGTTTAGAGACATTACGGAGGAAGGCTACCCCGGAAACTGAACTTTTCTATTTGTTATGATATCCTCATGAAACTTTCAAGGTATGTTCACTACATTAAAACTAGAAAAACAGCAAAGTTTCATGGAATTGTGTACAGGGCTTCTAGAGTTACTGAGGTCTAACTTGGTGGTTCACTTGTGTGCCTGAGGAAGAGCCTGAAGAAATCCCAGGACATACCAGAAGGCTGAAATTCTTTGTGGTCATCTCTGGATAGATATCCTAGGGCATTAAGGAGTCGTTTTTTTCAAATCACCCTCCAAAAAAATTTTATGCAACTTGATGTAGCCAGTAGTATGACATTTATCAAAAGATAATTGTTTATTAATAATCAATGGCACCAATTTTCAAAAAAAGAAGCTTCTTACACCCTGGCAAATCATCCAGGAGCAGAATAGAAGAAGTGGCACACAAATTTGATAAGCAGTTCTTGATAAATCGCTTTCCTTAGCACCACAACTAGCTAAAAAATTCATTTTGAGAAAATGAACTTTAAAAGTTCAGCACATGTGTTTTCCTCAAAAAGCTCCAGCAGAGTAGCTTGAAGTGTCCTTGCGCACTTTTTTCCTCTTTTGTCTTCCCTCTATCTTCTCTAAGTGCCATTTAGAATGTTTTTTCAGACGTAGGGCATCTTTTTCAAGAGCCAGCTGCATCAATTCGAATTTTTTTCGCATCGCTGACGTGGATTCGCTGGCGTAGATGGCGTCGCCTGCGCGAACGGCGTTTCGACGTCTTGCATTCGCATCGACTTCTTCCTTAATTAGGAAATGCATCCTCAGATGAAGGGTCCACGAATGCAGACGAAGTGCTGGGTCTGGTGATTTTAGCAACACTCGGTGTTACGCTCGACGGTACCGATTCAGAGCACATGCTGGATCCGGCGATCTCGTACACACTCAATGCATTCGCGGCTCTAAGTACACACAGTTGGTCGGATTATAGACTGGTGGCAGCTGACAGCACAGTTTTACCAACGCAAGCATCTACGCACTGGGCCTTTGCAGCAGAAAAGCAAAATTTCGATTCTCGTAGAATCCGCATAACGCGTTTCCGCGCTCCGAACTAGCGCACCGTCTTCGTCTTCGTTGCCGGCATCACGCACAGCAACAAAAGAAAGGGCACAGAACTTGTGCGAAAAAAAAAGAAGAGAAACTAATAAAAAATACAGCACAAAGCAAAATGCGACCTGTAGCAAATGTCTATCGAAGCGGACGGAGCATAGAGCAACAGCAAGACGAGCGCGCCGGACGTGCCATCGCCAGGAAGGACCACCTCCGTTTCCAGCGCAGCATCGAATAGTGGACGCATTTTCGCCCGCGAGATATAAATGAGCTGCTCTGCCAATCAGCGCTCCACATCACATCTTTTAGAAATGCAGATAGCATCTGAAACGGCGCCGTTGATGCCATTTTGAAAGGCGGCAAACGAGAGAGAAGGAATTCACGGTCAAAACAAGATCAAAATGGCACGGGACGGCTGCATGGTCTCGGAATGGCACGCTCGGAAAGTTAGTTTTAATTTTAGCTTTTGCGCGTGTTTTCGGGCACTGCGGCGGCCATCGATACTAGCATATCTTTTGGCCTTTAGGGGTTGAACCAGCTGTTGATAGTTACAGAATAGGTAGTTTGATTAGGTGACATAAAACCCAAAAATATGGTTTCTCAAACGCAGACTTTTTTGCGATCTTTCGGTTTTTAAGGGCAGCGTTCCCCATTAAGGAGGCGAACTGGTCTTTTGGACTAAAAAGCGACAAATAAAATTTATTGTTTAAAATTGACATATTTGGTTTCTGCTAGGTATTTGTCTATCTGACTGCAAATTTTCACACACCAGGAAGTGGCAATTTCTTGTAATGTCATTCTAACTGTCCAGATTCTTGATGCTGTTAATATGCAGAATCTACAAAAAATGGGGAACAGACTTCGAGGCTCCTTTATAATTCGACAGCACCTGGGTTTGAAGATCTGCTACCAATTTATGAGTGACTTTATGAGCACTACGCAACATGCACACCGTGATTGTTGCTTTTTGGAGAAGCCGTGTGTTATCTCTTTTCTTTTTTCATTTTATTGCAATGACAATTATATGGACACTCTCGGCTGGATTTCGGCGCCGGCGTGGGCATTGATGTCATGCACCGTATATGTATACATATTTAGTATATATATGAAAACGCAAGAAAGAAAAAGATATAAAAAATAGACTCCGGCACGCGGAATCAGAACGTGAGACCTCCACGTCGTGAATGTGAGACGTTAACCACTGAGCCATCGAGGGGTACCTTCTTGAACAATCAAACGGCAAGCTATTTATATCTACTTTTTACCGCTGTTGGGCATCTCGGGAGGGAAACTATCATGCACAGTGAGCGCGTGGCGGCTCTCATCTCTCACGCATGCTTTCGCCCGTGGAAAGGAGGGGAGTGGACTATCTCTCGCGTGCCCTTGTCTCCCGGTAGGGAGGATCATACGTCTTGGCTTGTGTTGGGCTTGCACTGGATTAATGATTGTGTTGTAGTTATGGGGCGCACAAAGGTCACTGCAATCATTCCACAGCCTCCGTTCGTGAAAAGGACGCGCTTTTCAGATACTGCGAAGTAACAACTGAGACGCTTCGCGTTCATCTGTACTTATGAGTAGGTTCATCTGTACCTGTGAGCACCACTTTTCTTTTTTTTTTATGGGGGCCTTAAACAATAGGGGGTGAACTTAAGTTATCTTGGGAACAAGATGACTTACAGGAAAAGTAATTGAATATTTGAAATCAGCAAAAAAACTGCATAATTCTGTGCAGTTTGACCAAGATCACTAAAGAAGTAAGCAAAAAGTGTGTAAGATGAGTTTTCCTTTTCAAACCACAACAATTACTATTAATTTGCTGCTTTTTTTTTATTGTCCTGTTAATCAGGCAGTTTGTGGCTGATTATTGAAAGTGGATGTCAGCATCCATGTATTTTGATTTGGTTTGTACGTGTGTGTGAGTTTCCATCTGAGGTTCCATGAGTAAAATGAATATACAGTAGACTCTCAGTAAGTGGAAACCTGTTAAAACGGGACTACTAAAACTGACTGTTAAACGGAACTATTGCCTCTGCAATGCTTGGTTTTGGGCTCGTATTCTGCACCCACGTTCACCTCTCAGTAAACGGAACTCCTGTTAAACGGAACATATTTTTCCCGGTCCCTTCAGGTTATGTTTACTGAGAGTCTACTGCATTGTCAACTTCATAGCAGACTAGCGGTGCCCACATAGCGCCACGACTGGCACCTGTCGTGGGCTTTTGTACGTCATCCCTCTCGCTCTGTTTTCAGGATGCCCTCAGTGTAGTTCTGGCTGCCTAGGCCTTTCTTTTTTTTTCCTGAGGGGGCACGTGTTTAGCAGCCCTTAAACATACAAAAACACCCTCGTTTCAATTTTTTTATCGCGTGCAGAGCCCCTATTAGAAAACTGCATTTTCAGTGACACCGAGCTTGTGTGCATGTTATCTCAGGCGCTCCCTCACTGTGCAGAACTAGTTTCTTATGTTTTCAGGCGGGCGGGCTGGAGTGATGCAAAATAAGTTGCACTTAATGACTTGCAACATAGATCATACAATACACAGCATCATTTGCAATTGAATTGCACAAGTATCATAAACAAAGCTACAAATTGCAGTAGAAATAGTGCAAACAAAAAATTAACTGTCTGGGATCCTTTAAAGGGGTTCTGAAACACTTTTTCAAGTAAACATGGAATTAATTCACTGGAAGAGCTTATCGCGTCACGAATTCAACGGCGCAAAAATTTTAAGAATCCGTCCAGTGCGAGTGGCGTTACAAAGGTTTGTCGCATGCTGCAATAGCATTCTTTCTTTGTTCGTCTCGTCGAAAGCGCTGCAAGCTAAGCAGGGAGGGATGGCAGGGCTGCAGAAAAACGTCATGCGCGGTTCGCGACCTTGAGTTTTTTTTTTTTTCTTCAAATGCACGGCTTTTTCAGTGTGATTGCGTACGCGTGGACAAGTAACGGCCTCCCGTGGCGATCTCTGTAACGAGCGCGCGCACCATGTTAAAATTAGCCAATGGCTGATAGATGGGTTGTTGATGTGTGATTTTTGGGCATATAACAGGATTTGTCGAAAGAAGAAAAAGCAATTTTCAGCTGACTTTGATCATTTATTGTGAATTCCGGGCTGTGTGTTGTGCTATAATATTCGGCTTGCGTGTTGTTGGGAGCCTCTACTACCGATCGGCAACGTTTTCTGACCATGCTCAAAAAGTGTTGCAAAGCCTCTTCAAGGAACTTACAATGATGATAACCCAGTCGACCCATGTAATAAATTTCTGCAGTGGGCCTTGTCTGGCATTAATGCCTTAGCCCCCCCCCCTCCCTTCCTGCATATTTTATGTGTTTACATTCCTAAATGCATAAATTAAATCATCAAAGGCATTCGGAGTGCAGTTTTATATTCTTTTTTAAGTGGTACAGGTGGCAAGTGGCACTCTTGTTTCTTTACCAAGTACCAAGCACTTGTCATCGAGCCCTTCAGTTTTTCGAATATTGAGAAAATTAAATAGCAAAACTGGAATGAAATTAATAGTTCCGGGTCAAGTTGAGAGTTATAATGAGTACGTATGATCTCGTAATAAACAATTGAGGTAGTCTAGGGAAATCTATTTAAGGGTTTACTTGTCAAGAACAGCAGTTTTCTCTCTTGCTCTCCTTCTTCCTAGTCCTCTGTTTTGTGGCCACACTCATATGTGATCCGATTGCGTGCGGCGAAGGTAGTGAAGGCACGGGTGGCGAAGGCGCTAGTCGTCGTGGCCGATTCTTGTTTCTGCAGCGCCCTCCTGCCTGCTGGGAGGGCACACATACTTTAATAAACACCGTTTCCTGGCATGTGTCAATATCTAAGCACAAGTTTACTTACAATAAGTTCTAGTTGACTGTATGTACAATTAAATAAACTTAATTGAACAAGCTCATTGGAAGAGATGAAGGGAGTTCTTATGAGCAGCTCGCTGAGTTGCAGCAGCTGGCGAAGCAGGTGTCGACCACATGTTCTTTTTATGTAGCCTCCGGGATCACTTCGGCGGCACGGGGAAATACAAAGTCAACCCTAGGAATACACCAGGGCAGACGAACAAAGATGTGCAAGTGCTGTTACTAGACACTCTAGTTAAGGATTGGGCTCACACTAGACATGTGAATCAAGGATTAGGCTCGCCTCCTGATCTCTTTACTCTTTCCTTCACCTCCTCTTTACCAGTGCAAACGCCAGGGGATCCCCTTCGATGGTGAGCTTCACTGCTGGGACGTGGCCTTCTACAAGAATCTGGTGGAAGAGCGACACTACAAGGTGGACCAGGAGAAGCTGCGGGCGTACTTTCCCTTGGACGTTGTCATGAAGGGCTTGTTTGGCATATACGAGGTTGGTACGACAACTGTGGCACGGAACTACTAATCACCCATTCCTTTCTTTTCTTTCTTTCTTTCTTTCTTTCTTTCTTTCTTTCTTTCTTTCTTTCTTTCTTTCTTTCTTTTTTTTTTCCACTCAGAGCTTTGTGTCCTGGTTGTGGCCTCTACCTGTCAACACCTGTCGCTCAGTTTGAGGAACATATCTGTTATGTGAAGTGAGACGCTGTGTTGTGCTGAATACTTGAAAATACAGCTTCTGTTTGACATTCGGAAGACCCTACACACTAAATTACTGGCAATACTGTAAAGGACACCCATGCATCACGTTTTGTGAATCTTTGCACATATTATACTGATGGAACACTACCATCTTTGCAAACAAGTTTTACATGACTGCAAATCAGTTTTGCGAAATCGCACGAGGTGGTGGAAGGGTTACAAAAAAAGGAAATTGACAACTAACCATTTGCAGCACAAAGCCACAAAGAAATCCTTATGAATTTCTCGGAAATAAAGCTTCTTGGTGCCAAAAAACTGTTTCCGGTCCGGGAATCGAACCCCGAACCAACGTCTTTCCAGGGAAGTTGATCTATCGATTGAGCTAAGCGGAAAGCTAGCTATTGGCTGTGTGAAGGGGAGAGTTCATGGACAACTAGGAGCATATGCTGCTCGTGCTATAAGCGTTCGGTTGTCAATTTCCCTTCCTTAAGTTTCACTGAGCTCTCACTCAGTTTACTGCTTTGCATGTGAAAATTTCAAGAATGCACTCGTATCATTATCGTACAGACATTTCAGGGGCGTCAAGCGGACAGTCACGTTCAACCCAACTCAAGGGCTAACGGGATTAGAGCTCATGCAGGACTTCAGAGATGTGTGTCTAAAAGTGGACCTCTGGGGGCACCATTTGTTGTGGCGATACGCATTTTGTCTGCGGGGCGTTTAAATGATGTTGCTGCGAGACATCTAAATGATGTTTTGGAAGAAAGGTCGGAAACAGATAATGCGGTGCTCGCCAGCTGCAGCCAATCAGGAAAGGCCGAATTGGACATGCCCATGAATCAGACACCGCGAGAGTAGCTTCCCTGGTAGAAATAACTTATTTTAATAATGACTGTTTTGCTGTACAGCAGTATACAATTTTGATGAGTGCTGTTAGTGCACTATACGTGTTTAGTAATGAAGCTTTCAAGAAGTCTGCTTAATAGCATACAATATTTGTCAGTTTGAAATACTGCTATTTCTTGCATTAATATTGCACTTCTGTTCTTTGTGCAGCTTCTTTTGAGGCTGAAGTTTGAAGAGATAGACAAACCTGCCCTATGGCATCCTGAGGTTCGCATGGTAAGTGAACAATGCCATTTCTTTCATTTTTTCTTTCTTATTCCGGTATCAGCGTCGGTATCGGCCTGATTGATTGCGGGCGAAATATCGTCAATTTGTCCATGAGCTAAACATAAAAAAAAGATCATAATAAAATAAATTTTTAAAATTTCCTGGTTGGGGTGAGAATCAAATCCAGGCCATCTGTGTAGCGAGCAGCCGTTCTACCATAGATCCACGCTTGCTTGAAACGGCAGTGAAAAAAAAATCACTGCAGTCGAACCTCGATATTTCGAACGGCGATCGCGAAATAGTTCGATATATCCAGAATTCGATATAAAAAAATCACGAAAAAAATGCGTCAACAGCTTGCTGAAAACAACCAACGAACCGTTCAAGCGTGGTGCAGTAAATACTCACTTGAAGATTCAAACATAGTACTTATTGTGTTGGTTCAAAATATTGAAAAAGAGTAGCCTGCTTTTTGTTGGCCATGGCGCATTTGACGACTGCGTCCTCAATATAGTTCAGGCGATCCATTAGTGATAGGCCGGTGCCTTCAATCGCGCCGCAGTGGCGGCGCACAAGGGCCAAGGCAGCTACGATTTCAGCTGATGTCGGGAGTGGGGCACCATCAGCGCTTGCGAGATCCACCTCGGCAGAGTCTTCATTTGGCTGCTCAGCAGTAGCTTTGGCGACAATCTCCACATCCGTGAGCTCCGCCGTTCGAAGTTAGGCCTGTCGCGCACCACAGCGTGCGACAGGCCTGACTCCGAACGCACGAGCACTGCGAGCACAACGACCGATGCCTGCCGATGATACGGGGGAGGAGCTTGCAACAAGGGCGCAGTGTGTCGTTGACACCATAGAGACTGCAACGACTGCAAGCTGCAAGGCTGCGGCGTGAGTCCGGGTGTAAAGCGCGCACATGGCGCGCCCATGCCAGCTCGCCTGACTGCTTTTCCTTTCCCGGTGACAGCGGGGGCCGCGTCCGAGACAGTCGTCTGCGTCCTTTCCCTCCTACACTTTCCTCCTCAATCTTTACCTCCCACTTCCCCTTCCCCCGCGCGAAGCCGTGTCGGTGCCTTCGTATTGAAAGACAATAACAGCTCCGCGCTTTTCTCTTCACTTTCCTCATTCAATAACCTCTACCGCAAGGCTGCGGCGCGCGTATGCCGCTACGTTAAAGTGGCGCTTTCGGCGCCATTGATGTGTGCAGCATTCGTAAACGCCCGCCGCTCTACCGCTACTTTCGAGAGTTGCGGGAAAGCTCGCCACCTGTCAATGAAGCGCGGGCGGTTTGGGGTGGCTGAGTTCGATATATCCATTATATGTCAAACTTTGTTTGAAATAAAAAAATCAATAATGCATGCGATTTCCCGCGTGATATAGGATCCGTGTTCGATATATTGAGGTTTGACTGTATATATGAATGAATGTCATGTAATATGAGTCTCCTTAACGCATGTTATATTGCGTGGCAAAAGCCTATAATCGTTCCAAGCATAAAAAGACGTGTGAATGGTGCTACAAGTGGGTGTTTTTAAAGGCCCACCTATTACAAAGTGGTCAGACATACTTAATCAACATCAGCAGCAAAAGCATAACAAAGGGGGCAGATGAGTAGCTTCATGTGTCGCCTTACGGACACGTAGTGGATCCTTCGCTGATTTGCTAAAGCCACAGTTACGGCGTAGTGGTCATTTAACAACTTCACTTGAAGTTCGAAGCAACTAACGTTACACACGCTGTCATTCATTTCCTTGGGGCACGGCTGAAACATACACCGAGAAGCGAAGCCAGGCTAGCATTTGAAGAAGCGAAGTTGCCAGATCCTGATTGCGCTATCACATTCTACTCTTGAAGCGAAGCTCAAACATCCTCCAAGTTTTTTTCAATATAAACCTGGGAACTTGCACGTAAGTTTGTAATGTTAGGCTCACTTGTAGGGGTTTACATAACTGGGTGGGCACTGAAGTGCATTGATTACCCCACGTTCACTGTTATTTAGACGCTGCCGCATTTGATCACTGCAGTTCAAGGTGACCGACAGTGAGACCAAGGAGCTTCTCGGCTACTTTTTCATGGACCTGTTCCCGCGAGAGGGCAAGTACAGCCACTTCTGCAACATTCCACTGCAGGTAGGTGGAGTTAATGGTTGCTGAATAATTCGACGCTGTCACTTCCTGCCGCTGGTCTGGTTCAGTCGTAACTTCGTCAAACATCCAGAGGAGGCTGACAGAGCGTCTTTACTGGAGTGGCATCCACGATCAGTGAGGACATGGAGGCAAATAGGTTATGCATTTTGTTTTGACTGTTTGCTCTTAGGGGCGGGTAAAAGTAAAATTATAGCAAAGGTGGCAGTGTGAGCTAAGCTGCTTGAGAGGTGTGCAGCTGCTTGACTGAACGCAGGTACTCGGAAGGTGCGCACTTGCTCGAGTGTGAGATCAGATACCCGAGAGTGAGCCTAGCTACTCGAATGTAAGCATAGCTACTCAACCAAGCACAGCTACTCGAGAGGTTTGCAACTACTTGAGTGGTATAGCAGCTACTTGAGGGGTGCACAGCTACTCGAGTATGAGTGCAACCACTCAAGAGAGCTACTCGACATAGCACTGCTCTTCTGTCTCCCAACCTTTTTTCCCTTATACATCTTGTGCTAGTAACTATGTCACGGAAAATGCATCAGCGCTAACTAGCCCAACTTTTTTGTTGATGTCTTGGGCATTTCCCTAAACTTTTTTGTTTAAACATTCATAGAAAGGGCTAGTTTACAAAAATCTGTCTGACAGGTTGTTCATTAGTGGCAAAATTTCCAGAGCTCGAAGTTTTACTATAATATCTGCAACGTTGGTTTGCTTGAAACATTGGTGTTTGCTACTTTAGTTAGCTGATATACACTCACATCTTGTTATAGAATGAACATGGAAATAACTAAATATTGGTTATAACGAAGTAAATCAATTATTATCTAGCAATAGGTACAGTGCTTTATATATACCTTTATAACAAATTTTTGTACTTAACGAGCTTATTTTTGTGTAAGATACAACTTTGTTATAATGAGGTTTAAGGGTATTAGTGTTGTATTAAGCTACTAGTGCTTATAGTCACTACATTGGAACGGTTTTGGTGCCAAAGCTTTCTCTGGTAATTGTGGCTTTAATTTGTAGTATCTTTTTTCATTCGTTTGTTTGTTTTTCAGGCAACTTGTCGCAAGCCAGATGGCACTAGGCAAATTGGTGTCGTGGCCGTTGTGTGCAACTTCCCGAAACCCACAGCGGACAAGCCATCTCTGCTGACGCACAGTGATGTGAGTAGCTGTCAAAACACCGCATATTTTTCACCTTCAATAGAGATCAAGATACGTAGCAGAAGAAAACTAGACGCATGAGTAATATGAGCAATCGTTGATGTTATCTGTCTTGGCAGCACTTTATCAGGATAACTTTTTTAGGCATGGAGACAAATGCCAACTTTTTGTTTCGTGGCACAGAATGCTGAAATTATTCCTACGCAATTAACTATGATAAACATATCGTTTTTCAATTAGATAGCTTCATCGTTTTCTGTTTTATGTAAATTTAAGAGTTCTGCTCTAATGAAAAGCTTTGCCCAGTAATAAAAAAATGTCAATAGTGAGGGTTCGGGGGGGAGGTCATATTTTTGAGCATCTTCTTGTTACTCTACGATAATTGTCATCTATTTCATGTGTTTTTTGATGTATTTATTCTCGTGTGCCCGCTGTTTCGTGGGTTATGAACAAGGGGCTTGTCATTCACATGACAGAGCATTCGCAAATAACAAATGGGACAACATCGTGCTTTTCAAGAAAGGAAATGCTAGCATGTCAGATGGCTATTATTGGGGTGTGACACAAACACAACCCAAACACTATCTCTCTCTTTTTCTTTTTGTAAGAGACTAGGAAGCTGGAACTAATTGATATTACTTATGTGTAGTGTAGATAAAAGGAGTGCTGAATTAACTGTGGTCTCTATTATATGCTCATGACCACGTTTCAATGCATAATTGCACACTGTAATTTTTTAATAATAAGCAAATCTAGGTCTAATAAAGTTACGGACTGTCGTCATTTATCTTGTTGCAAAATTGGTTTTATGTAGTGTGTCTCTTAAATCATTAGAATTACGAGCAGCTAACAGCTGCAAAGCGCATCAAGAATATTTCATTTGCGAGCTAGAAGCCGTGCTGATAAAACTGGCTGTTGAAGGTTTTCGCGCATTGCGCAGTGGACGTCAAATTTTTAATGCGGCCACTCGTGATTGCTCCTTTCTTACCCTCTTTCTTGACTTTATTTCTGTCCAGGTGGAGACATTCTTCCACGAGTTTGGTCACACCATGCACCATCTTTGCAGTCAGACTGAGCTAGTCATGTTTGAGTGAGTGCAGCTTTCTGGAACTTTACGTCGTTCCCTGTAGAATTGAATGCTCCCCACCATGCTGGTTCATTCGTCTTTTGGCATGGTTTTAAAATATTGAAGAGACCCTGCAACACTTTTTCAAGTAAAAATCGTATGTCCTCATTAAAAAAAAGCTTATTACCTCACGAATCGACTGCTAAAAAAATTTTTAGAATTCGTCGAGCACAAATGGAGTTACAAGGATTTGCCCGCACTCTTCAACCGCTTTCCTTTTGTACCAGAGAGCAAAGCACGCTGAAAGCTACGCAAGGAGGGGCATGACAGGCAGGCGAGACGATGCGTCCCGTCGTCAGCGTGTAGTTACCTTGAGAACTTTCTCTGAATTTTTATTTTGAACGAGCAGCTAACTTTCAGTGCAAGCTCGCATGCGGGCACGTGGCATAGTACAGCAGCGGCCATGTTAACCATGTAGCTCACGATGCTGAAGCCAGCCAGTGGCTGTGGACTTGGGCATATGGGATCTTTTGTTGAGAGAAGAAAAAAATTTCTAGCTGGGTCTTCGGGAATTCATTTTAAATGGCAGGCCACGTGCTGCACTGTACTGCGTTTGGCTCGCGCGTTTTCGTGAGCCTGGACTGCCGGTCGTCTGCATTTTCTGACGATGCTAAAGAGGTGTTGCAGGGCCCCTTTGAGGGCAGTAATGCTTTTCTTTGGGCTAGTTGGCACTTGTCCTGTGTACATTTCTTGTTTGTCCTTGTTTTTTAGCACAGCCATGTATCATGTTTTCTTTAAGGGGATGGGTCCTAAAAGTTTTCACGCAAAGAAAAACAATACACAAAGAAAATCAACGCGAGTTAAGCCCTCCGTTCTAGGAATTTGAAATCTACTATTGTTCATTTCTCACAACCGTGATTCAGTGACGCGTGTACATGTTCACCTCCTCATTGCTTTCTTATTTTCTTTCTATTCATAGAATACCTGTTCCCTCTTCACTCATACAATTCGTCACAGCATCCCCCCCCCCCCTTCCTTGGCACACTCTGACACCCGTGTAACCATTGTTGCCCCTCTCTCTTCTTCGTTTGGATGGAAGAAAGGGTACGAAGCATAAACACACTAGCGCTTAAAAATATTGGTTCTGATCTACCTTTGAGCAAGACACATCCGCTTGTAAAAACATCGGCTCGACACAGGCTCAGGAGTTGGTGACGCTCACACGTGCCAGATGGAGCTGGTGGCAGTGGCGCTTGCATTAATTATTTCATCGCTTATGCGACCCAAGGCGCTGTCGCGTGAAGCATGTGACAGCGCAATTTGAATGAAAGTTCGTTCCGTTGAAATGATAGGCGACTATTTTGTAATGTGTAATTCAAGAACGTGTAGTGTTATTTGCAGTCTCATAAAGTCTGAAACTATGTCATTGTATCAATCTCACTACAGTTGACCCTGTCTGTAACATAGACACTCATCGGAGAGCAGTTCGCATCCCTTGAAGGGCCACTCACCAGGTTTGACAATTTTGAGCTGACATGTGCAATGCGTAGATGAGACCTTCGTGATCAGGTCTGCCAAAATTTGCAGCGCTACGCACTGCAGAAATGGGTCAAATTTCAAGATGAACACTGCTCCCCCTTCCTTTTGCAGGCGCGTGCCCAGAGAATGAGGGCATGACGTGCGTGTATGAAGGGCCCTATGCACATGGCAATGCAGTGACGTTGATCCTCTACGTAGATGACTCTGCTCTGAAGTTGCAAACAGTGCCACGTGACATGAGGAAAATAATTTAACACCTCGTGCGTAGTTAATGTATTTGTTGCTTGAAGAGATTAATAAATCTTTAGATAAATAATGAGACACAATAAGAGAATGTGAGCATCCTTTTTTTTTTCTTTTCTTTCTCCGCGAATTGCAACGAGATGCAGGGTTAATGTGCCGGCGTTTCGCATGCGTTCATGTCCCCGTGGTTCCACGGTCAGTGCATCGAGCAGACGACAGCTGTGGAACGCTCCTACGCGTTCGCCCATACATTGTGCGAACGCGCAGGAGCGTAGGAACGTGTAGGAGCATTCCAGCACCTCCTCTGTCTATTCTACCGCATCCAAGCCAGCGTTTCCAAACCATCCCGCCAAAACAGGCAGTAGGCCTCAAAACAATGCTGAAAAAAAAAAAAAAAAAAACGTTGCTCTCTCGCATGAGGGTTGGGCTTGTTTGGGCACGTCATGCGCACGTGACCTCTTGGTCAGATGGCCGGAGAGGGTAGGGAAGAGATTTGGTTTGAAAAGGCTATGCGGAGGAGCGGCAAGGGTTTCGAGCTTGCCTCTTCCTATACTCGTTTCGCGCCGCTTCAAAAAGCAGTTTTGTCAGCTCGTAATGAACCGATTCAAAATTTTTTTTGTGGCAATATATTCTTCATCGGACACCCAACAACTTCTATGGTCTAACTCAAATTTGGTATGGGGCCTGGTGAGTGGCCCGTTAAATGAGATGTCTCTAATAAGCAGGGTACCATGTTCTCATCTCATGATCAACCCGTATTTTTATGGAGGCACATTGGTGTGTCTTATACCCATTTGTTTATAACAACAGTGTCTTTTATGAAGTGTTTAAACTATATACCGTATTTACTCGCGTAATCCTCGCACTCGCATAATTCTCGCACCCCCCACATCGCCCAAGAAAAATACGATTTCTTTTTTCCTCGAGTAATTATCACACCCCAGAAAACTGCCGCAATAATGTCGTCTGCTCGTTCCAGCCACTTGTGATGATAGCGCACGCCATTCGGCGCCATCTCTTAAGCATCAAGCATACTATTGCACGCAAATTCAATCCAATCCAAGCCAAGCCGAAGTGGCCAGTGCGCGTTGCGGCGTGTTTTGTATGCTGTGTCAGTAATCTTGGCACGTTATGGTGTGATACTGAAGCTACACGGCTCCTTCAAGTTGCAAGTGATAGATGACAATGGCACTAAACGACAACAACAGGGCCGCCAGTAGGCCCTTCGGAGTCTACGAGTTTTGTGATTGCTATTGGTGACGGCAGCTGAAAGCCACCAAGACGCGTTGGGCCTGCCGTGGGCCTAAAACTGGGATTGATGGTAAACTTTATTTCGTCAGAAGGAAACTGCGGACGATTCTGTTAAATAGCCATAAGCGCAATACTGACATCCTACGCTTACCTTTTGAGGGCTCCTGGTGAGCAACGAACGCTACCATTACGCCCGCAACGCCCACAAGCTTTGCGTATGGTATTCTAATTCTCGACTATTTGCTTGCACTTTTTGCGCCTCAAATAAATCTTGCCTTGTGTTGAACCTCTCCTTTTATTGTTGAGGTAACTCTTAATTAGTACTTCTCAAAGCTTGCTGTTAGTTGCTGGTGTGAGAATCCCGATTTGCGGCCTTTTTTTTTTTTTTTGTTCGGTAAGTTCTCGTGAAAAGTTCTCCCCGCGTGATTCTCGCACCCCCACACTTAGCATCGCTTTTTCGGCAAAAAAAGTGCGAGGATTATGCGAGTAAATACGGTATTATTCAAGTTTGTTATGTGAACGTTTAAAATCTACTGCCGTCTTTGCAATCAAAGGCATGCCCCGCAACAGTGGTCTAGTGGCTAAGGTACTCGGCTACTGGCCCGCAGGTCGCGGGATCGAATCCCGGCTGCGACAGCTTCATTTTCGTTGGAAGCGGAAATGTTGTAGGCCCGTGTGCTCAGATTTAGGCGCACGTTAAAGAACCCCAGGTGGTCAAAATTTCCGGAGCCCTCCACTAAGGCGTCTCTCATAATCTTATCGTGGTTTTGGGACGTTAAACCCCACATATCATATCATACCAATTAAAGGCATGGTTATGTTTCAGTGAGCAGTGTGTGGCACTTCTACCAGGTGCTGCTCATAATCTGAAAACACAATTTAGAAAAATGCTTGTCAGGACTGTTTGGCACTTGTGCCGTCACATCGCTTCAGTGCATAAGGAGATTCGTGCTGTGTTTTCGTCGCAGGGGCACGACAGTGGAGCGCGATTTCCTGGAGTGTCCGTCTCAGATGCTGGAGAACTGGTGCTGGGACATGGAGAGCCTGGGCCGCATGTCCAAGCACTACAGCTCGGGTGAGCCGCTTCCCAAGGAGTTGGCCGACCCGCTGATTGCCTCGCGGCTCGCCAATGTGGGCCAGTTCAACCTGCGCCAGATCACCCTGGCCTTGTTCGATTTGGAACTACATGTCAAACCGGAGGTACGACTGTTTGCACGCATGCGTGCTGGTTGCACAGTGAAGCTGGCTTTGCCTTTGCCTGACGGTTATGCCAGAAGGTACCATGACTGGTGTAAAGACAACTACACTCAAAAGTCGATGTAATGAACCCAGCCATAATATAATATTGATTATAACAAAGTAAATGAATAAATGTCTTGCTATAGATATACTATTGAGAATAAACCTTTACAACAAGTTTGAAGATATAGTGAACTTATTTTCATGTCATATGCAACTTTTTTATTATGAGGTTCGAGTGCGGTGTGTTGGATGCGTAGGCTAGACAACCGCTAGACCACAAATGCCACAGTTGTGGTACTAATGTGAGTCTTCCTTTACTGGGCACAAGTTTAGCCATTAGATAGTTCACTCTTTACTAGTTTGACTGCTGCACTTTTCACTCTTCCAACGGTGCGACATTGTAGAGCCTTCCACAACTTTTTTTTTTTTACTTCCTGTGTTGCTATCCGGTAAACATAGATTCATACTGAATTCTGGGGTATTCCTTGGCAAAACAATATGATAAGATTTCAAAGCGTGGCTCGAAAGGGCTACTCCTGCCTTAACATGTGTGCGCATCTAAGTGCGCAGGTGTTTCTGCAATTTGCCACCGTTAAAATTTGACCGTTGTGGTTGGGAACAGAACTGGCACCTTCGGGTTTAGCAGGATAACATCATAGCCACCGGCGCTAGGCTTGGTGTTCAACAAATACATGGAAGCAAAAATACCGTAGTTTTGGCAGTTGAAGTGCCAGAATATAAATGTTCAACCCGGTAGGGAAACTACAGTGGATGCCAAAGCTTTAGGAAGAGGCCTGGCTCAGGGAATTTTTTGGCACATCAGCATTTACTTTCTTCTGCGCATTGGATTCTCGTTGAACAAAACCTGAAGGAACCAGCAAAATGTGTTCCATTTAACAGGAGTTCTATCTACTGAGAGAGGAGTGGGGTGCAGGATCAAGCAGGAAACCAATAATATTGGGGGCGGTTCTGTTGAAGCAGCAGTCCCGTTTAAGAGATTGTCGTTTACCAAGAGTTTTCGGTAGTTCCCTTTTGTTTGTGGTAGCCGTCCTTGTAGATCCTGTCACTGCACTTCAGACTGTATTTTTCTAACTCTGACCACGTCTCGGTTTCAGGCAGAGACGGCCAAGCTGTTTGCAGAGATCCAGGAAAAACTTCTCGGCTACAAGCCGCAGCCGGGGACCAACTTTGCTGCTAACTTCTCCCATCTGATGGGTGGATATGACTCCCGCTACTACGGCTACTTGGTGCGTATAAGGGGTCAGTGGAGTTACCTTGGTGACTGCCACGGGGTGTTTCGAACAAAGTCTCTAATATATTTTTGGCAAATCTTATCTTGTCTTTGGCTATGTCGTCGGGCTCTACATAAGAAATCTGCAGTTTGCGATTCATAACGGTCCGGCTTCATTAAGCCAAAGTTTATTTGAGATGGCCATGCAGCCACCGGAATTAATGCTGGTGGCCATGTAAGCTTTCAAATCCGTGTTTTGCACGCAGCCTTTATGGTATGATCTGAAGCATTGTGATGCATTATGCACCGAGCGTTGATAACGGTTGTTTGCGGGTGAAATCCCAACACATGGAGAATAAAATAGTGTGCCAACATAGTGCTGCGTTTCAAAAGCAAGAACTATGCCTATATTCATGGACACAGTTTAATAGTTTAATAAGGACTGGCACTTCATTAGTTCCATGGAAGAAAGAGGTACTGAAGTAAATTCCATGGAAGAAAGAGGTACTGAAGTAAAGGGTAATTAATTCTACCCTCATTAAGTCAGAAAATTAGATAATTTGGACATGTTCTACAGTCCTAGTCGGCACATACATTGTTTAATGGAATCAAACTCCCATTATGTTGGTCATAATTGGCTGTAACCTGGTGAATTCGGGTTATCCTGAAAGCCCGCCAAGCATGAAGCACTGGGGCGCAATTCTCGTGGTGTCAGATTCGGCAAAGCGCGTTCAGTTACGCAAAAAAAAAAAAGAAAAGAAAAATAAGTCGTGGCACTCTTGACCACACACTGAACCTCCCAGCTCATTCCCAGCGTAAAAAGAAACTGCCTAATGTGGACTAAATGTACCGGAACAAGCTTTACAAATCTGAACATGCATATGAACGTGTTGAGATGTTTGAAGAGCGATGCAGGGAATGCGTAACGACCTTACAGGGACATCAGGCGAGTGGCCACGGTAAACTTGAGTCAAGGGCTAACATGATTACAGTTCATGCACGGCCTCAGAGATGTGCGTTCGAAAGCGGATCTCTGGGGGCAGCACTCGTTGTGGCGAAACAAGTTTTTCTCGTTTGCATTGAGAGTTGTGAAAGCTGCGTGGTGTCAAAATGACGTTGCGGAAAAAAGACTGGAAACAGGCAGCACGCTGCTCGCCAGCTCCAGCCAATCAGTGGAGGCCGAATTGGATCCACCGCGAGTATAGCTCCCCTTGAACAGAGCAAAAAGGGCGTTCGTGGACAGCTGAAACAAGGCGGTGCAGTCCGCTTTGCCATGGCCATTATTGCAAACCGCACAGTAGCGATCGGAAAGCTAGAAAACTTCATGCCTGTTCACATTTACTACCCCATGTGACACTTCGTTGGCCACAGGTGTTCATAAAGGTGTGATGGCCATCCACACTTGCGTTGTTGGTGGCCAAGGTTTCTGTAGCTGCGGCAAATTTATTTTGTTTACCATTGCATACCTGCCAAGTCTCCCGTGTTGGCCGGGAGACTCTTGGATTTCAACCGTTTCTTCCGTTTGTACGGTTGTCAGTGAAATTATCTTGGAAATCGAAATTTCTGTGTGTGATCTGGCTGCATTGACAAAAACATAGCTCAAGCCACTCCAGTATGTTCGAACCTACCCCATTTTATTATAAATGAGTTTAAGAGGCGTTCATCTAACGTACAGTATAATCTCAGTGATGCGAAACTGCGGCAGATCCGAATTCTTGAAATTCCCTAGCCAAATTCCACTATGTTAATTAGGCCTCAATTCGAATGTCCGAACATATTTCCAAATCGCGGTGGGTGATACGAAGTTTCGTACGGAAACCGTCGAACAAAGGCAGAGAGCAGCGTGCTTGAAGCTTCAGAAGTATGCGTGCGACAAGCGCACGCACTGCCTTCTACAGTGCGTGTGATTGCCGTTGCCACAACCGCTGTGGACGATACCGCTGTCGCTCTTGACACGATTATGTATGGCGACGACGCAACTGACAGAACCCCGAAAGTGCGCGCTCAACCAGTCAAAGCAACGCTGCTTTCCACTAACTCTGCGGATGAGACTATGACAGATGCTATAGTAGATGGCATAAAACGACTTAGTTTTGAAGGCGCATGCGCAGCCGAGCGCACGGGGATTGTAAAATGAACTACCTTTTGCCACAACCGCAGTGCACGAAACCTCGGTCGCGGCAACGCGATAGCGATCTACGAGCTCCGAGGGCACGCAGTGGGGGGTTAAAAGCAGTAAATACATAAAAAATTTTAAAAGTTACAGTTTCGCCGCAAAGGCGAAGCAAGAAATGCGACAGCAACAACTTGGAATGAACAGCAAGCAGATCGAAATGTGCAGCGCGCTGCTCACACACAAATGACGCACGAAAACGATTCTCGCAGGACGAGAGCGAACTAACAACGTTTACCACTCAATGCTTAGTGCACCGTTTGAACAAAAACGATGCATGATAAGGTACAGATGATTACAAACTAACAAGTGTCTCGGTTGTTATACTCCGTAGTGTATGAAAAGCATGCTGTTTTTGCAAAAGGGGCGTGTGCAGAGACCAAAGTGACCTTTGTGGGCCCGGCAACTAGCGCTTTCATTTCAGTGAAAGCCGAAGGCACACGATTCCCCCACCAAAGGATAAGCGCGCGCGCGCACAGGCAACTGCTCCCTCCCCTCTATCCATGGGGCAAAGTACACGTGAGAGGCAAGCACGCGTCGGCGCATCCCGACGAGCTTGGCGCCAATACGGGCGGCTTTCTTTCTTTGAGTGTTCATATATATAGATACGTATACATACATATACGGTGAAGGACGGCGGTGGTGGCGACGGCAAAAACACAGCCTTGACTGTTCATATAGTTGCTATCGTAATAAAGAGAGGCCAGACACGTTTTCGCACTCCTGTCGAAAGCATCTAGTAGTGAGCAAAGCTTTTACTCGCGCTTTTGCTGCAGCTAGCTGCGCCATCCTGTCCGTTCACGTGTGTCCCAGCAAGACACACGCGAGTTGTTTTGACCGAAATAGATTCTGCTAGTTGTGTTGATCGTTTGAGACTCTTACCTTAGTGAAAAACTCTACCCTTGTGTGTTCGGCCACCCCCAGCCACTATGAAACCGCAACGCTGATGTTGGTGCTTGCGATTGAGACTCCCTGTCCACCCCCTTTTATTTTTCGCGATGTTTTGTTTGTTTGTTCGTCCTTGTTTTTTTTTTTTTGTGCCGCGCACTCCCCCCTGCCCCCTTCGTTGTGGAAATCGCCCAGATTCAGAATTCTTGAACTTGGCAGGTATGCCATTGACAAAAAGCATGGCCACATGCGATTGTGTTGGTGGCTGTAGTCGTTTTAGGAGGGTTGCAGATCACATTTTGGGCTAATGTGGGGGTCTTGCACTGTGGTAACACTGTGAGAGAAGTCGCAGCATGAAGAATATTGTGGATTTTATGCTGCTCTCAGCGAAAATAAGTGCAGGATTTTTGTATTCATCAAGAAAAGGAGTGTGTACTTGTGTCAATACGCATTTGTTTCTTCTTGCCTTGGTACTCCTGATAATTAGTAATTCAGTTAATTCAGAGATTTTTTTCTATTCCTGCGAAAGCTGGAACTAACGAGCTTTTAATGTAGTTGCTTGCATAGTTATTGTCTGCTAAAAAACTTGAGTAAACGAGCGTAGTTAAGTTTCCCATCATTGAGGCTTGCACTTTGATTGGAGCGAAATTAGAATGTGTCTAGTGAGCTCATAAGTGATGTTCGTAGTAATAGTTGGACCAGCCTTGCTGAAAAAATCACAGCATATCTATGGAGTGAATGATGCTGAGTGGGGCAAAGCTTCGGAGGGTTTTATCAGTAAATCGTAAATCATCCATCCACTGGCCGCTTCCATCTGTCTGCCTATTTGTGTGTCAGTCTGTTCATCTGTCCATCCGTACATTCGTCCATCTAGTGAGCACTTTAAGTACTGCCATCTCGCATCTTTTCATCATGTATTCATCATATTCAAGTACCGCCATCCAGCAGACATTCCAAGGACTAAACTACTACGGTCAACTGCCGATTTTTCGGACCCTCTAGGGAGAGAAAAACCGTCCGAAAATTCGGGCAGTCCGAAAAATGAATGCAAGCAAAAAAACGCATTATTTTACTAATAATTTTCAATTCAAGCGAAAAAAAGCACTATTTTGCTAATATTTCTCAATGCAAGCAAAAAACGCACCATTTCATTGGTATTTCTTGGATCAAGAGGGTCAAGGTCGAAGTACCAGACTTCTGGAACTCTGCCAAAGCATCAGTGGGGTGGCTCTGAAAAGAGCCGTTAAAAAAAATGCATGCAGCCGACAGCGGGTGCCGTCAGGGCAGCCGGTGTTAGAGCTGCAGTGGCTTGAAAAACTTGTTGATCCTTGTTTGAACGGCGTTCCGCTTGCATGTGATCACATTCGCCTTGATCTGAGCAAGGGTCATGTCATCACTGTACACTGATGACAGCGTCATCAATACTCGCATCAATTCGGCGGTCGTAGGTAGCACAGGCATTGGTTCCTTTTTTTTGACATCGGAGTCGTCTGAATCCGCCATAACCTGACTGACTATTTCGTCGTCGGTTAGCTCTGCGCAGAAGTCGAGCTCGTTGTCAGCGTCGACAAATGTCAGTCAGCCTACGATCGGCCACTCTTCACTAACTTAATAACAGCGGCTTTTTTCTTCATCATTAACCGACGGTACTGTTTTCTGCGCTTCGATGGCATCAGCGAGGACGACGAAGGCGGAGTGGGGGCCATCGCAGGCAAGCGAAATCCTCACAATGTGAACAAAGGAGTTTGCTGACGAGCGTCGAAGCACCTAGGCTTGGAGCACCTGAACACGATCGCACAACCACGCACTAGGCCACAGAACACGTGTGGGCTGCGTAAACAAAACAGCGCGACGGTGCCTTGGATACTCCGGAGGTGGCGCTGGTAAAAATTCAAGATAGCCAGCGTGGCCAGACCGAATCGGCGTGTGACGATTAGTTCTAGTTCAAAGTAGTGAAACGCTTCGCGAAAGCGCTGCGCGGGAAGCCAGAGTGGCACGCACGAGCACAAGTGCTAAAGTGAAAGGAACGTTATTGGCGCCAAAAAATTTCCGGGTGGATAGTTTCGATTGTCAGCGAAGCACCCTTGCAGGATAAACACGGCCAGTGTTAGAAATCTCGAAGGCCGTGTATGTTTCTCCGCTAACAATCAACGAGTCCAAGCAATAGATGCCGCCACAGTAGACCGTCTCGTTCATTTATGCGATCGTAATCGCGTGTGAGGCAGTTGTGGTGGTTTCCATCGGAGGTCAGTGGTGGTTTCCGACCTCCCGTCACGTCAAAAAGTCAGGAAAATTGAACTCCGGGTGGTTCGAGCATCCGAGATTTCAGACTTCCTTATACATTGATTCTATGGGGCTCGTGGCGGTGCCGCGAAGATGTCTGAATTATCAGGCATGTTCGAAAATTCGGGTTTCTGAAAAATCGGCAGTTGGCTGTACTACATACATCGGGGACTCCCAACCCACGGCTCAAGGAGCTTCGCCCCTGAAAGTGCAAGACTGCTCTTCTCGATTTGCTGTTTGTCTCTTTATCTACCTTTCTATCTGCATATGTACTATCTGTCTAATTTAATTCTACATGCCGATGCCTGCAGCCATCCCTAACATTCTCTTTCTTGCATGCGTGTCCTCTGTCGCTCTCCTGTCTGTGCCGGCGAACGTCACCCACTGGCCCCCCGTTGCAACAGTGGAGTCAAGTGTTCAGCATGGACTTGTTTGACACGCGCTTCAAGAAAGAGGGCATCCTGAACCCCAAGACCGGCATGGACTATCGAAGACAGATCCTTGAGACTGGCTCGACAAAGGTGAGAGGTCAACTGTCAATTGTAGAAGTTTGCTCGCAAACCTTAACAGACTTTCATCGAAGAGACTCTGAAGTAAAATGCAGAATCAGTTTAGGCAAAGGAGTCTTCTATAACTCTACTTTCATTCATTTTGTGATTAGAGGTTCTGAAGTTGAAAGGGTATTTCAAGCCAAAGCTCTATTTTCTCAGTTGAGTGCCATAACCCCAAGGATAGTTCATAAGTACAACATCAGAGGTATAAAAGCTTTTTTTTTTTTTTTCATTTTAACAGTGTTCATTTAACAAAGTTCCTAAATGCTGCCACATTGTCATAATGCTATAAATTTTTATTGATAGAGAACTGCATGCGCCCAATTTTTTTCCTCGTGCACATTTTCTTGTTTACCGATCGTGCGTTCACAATAAGAGTGACCTTGTTTGATTGTGAGGATTAATTTACTAATTCAACTGAAAGCAGTTTTCTTGTTATTGATACTCTCAGCTCTACAGTTAGGAATCTTGCTGGTATAGAAAAAGATTGAGGCATATAAACAGTGTTGTGAAGATTCCTCTGGTGTTGCTTTCATTTGCTAAAGCTTTAAACTTTTATGTCAGTCACATGCTGATTAACAGCTCTGAAGTTCTTGGTCCTTCAGCTCTCTGGGAAACAATGCTAACTGACACATACTATACTTATTTGCTCTAAAAGACTGTTTATTCATAAATGCTTGATATATAACATCATCACTTATGCGTTACAACGATCTACAAAAACACGAACATGACATATGGTGTCTGCATTCTACTCACCTTCCACCTTGTAGTTTCCTCGTCAACTCACCTTCACGTTATAGATTTTGGCTGTTTGCTAAGGGCTAGATGATATTTCATTGTCGAAAATGGGCACTGTTGAAATATGGTGCCCAATTCGTTGCATGAGCAATCGCAAGTGTTTGTTACCCGCACACATGCATTGCATGCTGACCTCTTGGGTACGTATAGTAATGATCTTGAAATAGTACAAGGAATGCAAAACATGGGCACCCAATTCTGGATGTCTCTTGTGAACTGTACTGTGTTGTATGGGAGCTAGAGGCTTAATGTGGAGAAGTTTCAGGAGCTGGATTGAGTCAGTGTGGCGAAAATATGGCAAAACTGAAATCTGGTACGTCACATCAGGGCGTTCAGGGCCTGGCGTATCAAAGCGGAATTTCGGCTTGAAACTTCAGCCTTCTTTTGTTGGCATCAACAGCAATAGGGGGCTCAGACAGAATAACTCATCAGTCTGAGCTGATTTAACAAACACGAGTTATTTGGGAGCTCATTTCTTTGTTAGACATAACTGACTAACATAACTGACTGACATAACTGACTGTTAGACATAAAGACAGTTAAACTGACTGACACTGAAGTTAAAGCAGGCATACAGAGCATTATTTGCAGGTTTCAGGTGCAGTGTAGTTATTACGAAGGTACAGTGTGGTAATTACGAATTGGTGGAAAAGGAATTGAAGTGGATGAAAATGATCTCGTGCTATTTCAAGGTTGTTTGTTCGGTTTCCGCCAACAGCAAGTTCATGTTTCATTCACTTTTGTTCCTTTCATTTTCATCATGAATAAGTACTATACTGTATATTGCTGCTAAATTCACTTAAACCTCAATATAGTGAACCCGGATATAATGAAATATCGGTTATGACCAAGTAAATGAACAATAGACTTGCAATAGCTATTGGCCGCGCAATCAAGCGCAGTCGCCGCCTGGTGGAAACTGGCTGAAGTGCGCAAGTGTGGATTGCTCTGTGCGTCGTCTGTTAGCCACGTCGTGTTTCTATGTGTGCGTACGTCATGCACATTCTCAAAGGGTGGTTTGTCCAGTAACATCAGTGCGAGGGTAACTGTTTCTACGTATGCCTGAAACAACGTACGAAAGCATTTGGCCTTGCTCGGCTGCTAATGCATTCTAATAAGATCGGTGAGTGCAACTTTCCAGTGTGCTGTTTATTGTCGTCGTGCCCTCCATTCACCAAAATTATTTTAGAGTGGGTGCCACTTCTTCAAGCATATCATAAAATGCTCTTGGTATCCTCCCAAATGTGAGGACTATTAAGTGTGAATGCAGCATTTTAGCAACATTTTTGTACAAAATAATGATCGAGGCCCTAGGCCACGCCCTTGCGTGCTGTTGGTAGGTGTACAACTGCCGCACTGTAGTTTATCGATTATGCAAGGAGCCTTGGTTGTATTTATTGGGCCATGGTACCACTGCATAGGAAATAGAAATATTTTATCACATAAACTGTGATACTTCAGTAAATGTAAATAGTCTGTAAAATGGAGTGGCCGTGCGCGCATCCGTATGCTTAGATTTAAAAATTCTTTGAAGAGCCCAGACGTTGAAAATAATTCAGATGACATGCCTTGAATTTAATGTTGCATAATTTCAATGAAAATCTAATCTATTTTACAGTCTTGAGTGTTTGTGTGGCATTGTTATTGACCGACGGAAGGCAGTGGTCATTTTTCATTTGAAATAAACAAAAAAAACATGCTTGTCTCATAAAGTAACCAGACCTTTGTTGTAGCACTGTCATGCATGTAATTCATCGATGAAGCTTTCTGCTGAGTGCTTACAAGTTTTTTTATACAGTACAATCCTATTAGAGAGACAGACTAGTCTTAGACATTTTTTGCTTATCTATGCAGTGATCTTGATGAAACTTCACATGATTCACAAATGCAGTTTTTTCTGCTGATTTCAAATATATTTAAATCGTTTTCTTGAACTCATCTTGTTCCTGAGATAACTTAAGTTCATCCTCTATTGTTTAAGGTCACCTTAAAAAAAGTGCTTAATTAAAAGTGATATGGAAAGTATGCCAATAAAACTTATGACTAGAGATTGAAAGCATGCAAGAGTTTTTTGTTTTTAGGCTTTTTTACTTCTATTACACTAAAATGAACTATCCTTTTTCAAAATTACTTGGAATTGTGTTATAATTTTGACAAGTAAATAATTAAAAAGGCTTGTGCTCTAAATTTTTCTCCCATACTTGCATTCTACACACATACAGGTTTCAATTACAAAAAGAATGATTGTTGTACCTGCCCTAGCTGCAGAGATATTGAGACCTCAAAATTGAAGTCGTAAATTTACTTTTTTGAGAAAAATAAAAAAAACTGAAAACACACAGTTTCTTCAAAAAGCAACAATCATGCTGTGCATGTTTTGCAATCCTCATAAAGGTGCTCATAAATTCGTAGCAGAGCCTCTAACACAGGTGCTGCAAATTAAAAAGCCTCGAGGTCGGTTCCCCATTTTGTTGCAGGTCCTGCATTTTAAGAGCACCGAGAATCTAGACAGTTACAATGACATTACAAAAAAAAAATTACCATGTTGTGTGAACATTTGCAGAGAGATAGAAAAATACTTGCTGAAACCAAATATGTCAATTTTTAAAAAATTAATTTTTTTTGTCACTTTTGGTTTCAAAGACCAATCTGTCTCCTTAAACGAAGCTCTCTTAAAAATGAAATTGCTGATTAAATGGAACAACTGCCATAATATATTTATTGTGGCACTTAAATATTATACCCCTGCTTATCTTTCAGTAAAGGAAACACATATTTCTGGTCTCTTCAAGTTTTGCTTAAAAGGAGTCTACGGTAGTTTTACTGGTGCAAGAACATCTGCATATACGTGGTAAACGCAATTTAGCTCAAAGCGCTGTCAGGCACAAAGCTTTTGTGACTAGACTTATAGACTGTCCCACACTTCATGATGAACATAATAAGAAAAAACTGCATATGGATATAAGTGCGAATGGTAGTACTGAACTCATCGGTCAGATATGTGGGCTTTCTACGATCTTTCTCTTCTTTTCTTGTATGCAGATAACAAAAGAGTAGATAAGCAGTTCAGTCATGCTACAGCAGTGCGTAGCAGGCAGAACCCAAGCTAAACACTAGAACAATACTGTAAAAGCGTGATTTAGTACGAAAGCGCGCAGATAGTCACCCATGGCGAGCATTCCTTTGAAAGGCACAGTACGCATTACTCGCTGGTAATGGTAACGTCGCATGTGCTTCATGCACCGATTCAGTAGAGAGGATCGTAGATATTATCAGTAAACGGCAGTCTACGCATTTTATTCACCGACAATCTGCTCAGACCGCACGCACGGAAGTGGCGCTGCTTGTATTTGTAGACGCGCCGTCGACCACCTATCCAATTTACCGCAGACACGGTGCTGCCACCTATAGGTAGATCTCGCCATGAATAATGATAGAAATATACTTTAAAGTGAATTTTTGAATATAACAAACTTATTTTCGGGTAAGATGCACTTTCTTTATAATGAGGTATGAGTGTACTACAGGTAATGTAAACAACAGACAATGGCTTTATTGTCTGTTGGTTTAACTAGGTAAACCTGATTTTGTGTTTCACTTCAGCATCTCTGAAACACTTGGCCAACCATCAAATCGCATTTAACTTTTTCACAGGACGCCGAAGTCATGCTGCGAAACTTCCTGGGCCGAGATCCCCGAATGGATGCCTTCCTTGCGAGCAAGGGTCTCGCACCTCCAAGCTGATGTCATTTCTCATTTCCGTTGGAATGTTCTCCCAGCATACTCGCTCCTCGCGGTGGCCTTCTTTTTTCTGTAACTTTCTAAAAGCTCGGACCGTACCCTCCACCTCATCGGGAGTTTTCCGATAGATCTGTATTGCTTGTCGACGAAGAAACCAGTGTGCTTTGCTTCTTCTTACGTGCCATGATGGCGTACGTCTTTGACGGGCAACGTGAAACCAGGACAGAGTCGTGACTTGGCGTCACGCGATAAGCCTTTTCTTTTTTTTACTCATTTTTTTTTACTCTGTGTGTTCAAGTAAAAGACTTGAAACATTGTGGTATATGTATTGTATGTGCCACTTCTTCATTAGGTCCCTAACAGGCGACCTCGCACATAATGAAGCTGTTAAAGTGAACTTCAAGCTTATTGTTTGAAGTTCTTTCTACTTGTGTGTGGTCCCTTTGAAGTGTGCACTGTGCAAGTATTAGAAAAAAAAAGGTTATTAATGTTTCGTATGTATGAAGTAGCTGTAATGCCTTCAGCAAAGCTTGTAAGCAGTTCTTGCCTACCTTACTACACAAAATTGGCCACTGTCACATATTTTTCGGGTTATGTTTAACATATAATAATTATATAATTATGAGGGTTTCATTGAGAAAGTATTTTGGTACATAGAACATTGTTCACAAAACATAGTACAATGAAAATTGGTAATGTCTTAGAAAGAGGCATCAGTAACAAAGGCTAATGACAAGGGTGTAGTAAGAGGGTTGCACGCCCACTTGCCTCTTCATCATCTCTCATTTTGCCCGAAGTTCACAGGGCTCCTTTCACTAGGCCACATACCTTAGTATGCTTCACTCTTCGGACTACAAGCTTCTTTAAACATAAAGCGGGGTTGTGACAGCTGCGCCAATCTGATGCAATGTCCTGAAGCAAAACTGAAAGTTGGGCTAGTTAGTGGTATATTACGGGAGAAAATGGTGTGCGAACGGACGGGACAAAGGTGTGCTGTCTGATAACTACCTTTGCCCTGTCCATTTGCGTGCTGTTTTTTACCATAATGTTTTTACCATTTCCTATTTCTTCATTAGGCTGCCAGCACCCAAGTGCCATAGTGTTTGCTAAGTGTTAAAGCTTCCTTACATTGGTGTTTGTTAGTTTGTTTTAATTTTGTCATTTCTCATTACAGGATCCTCCGTTTTATAGCTGCCGTTAACTAGAATCGAAGGCAGTGAGTGGCCTAATTAAGAAATTGCGACTATTTAACTCTCATCTGATCGCATTATAACTTGTATCTTTGCGATTCAAGCTGGTGTTGCTGTTTAACGCACATACGAAAGCGGATGCCCAGAATGTATCATAAAATATTTGTTTGTGTTCCAGTTAAGCTTGACCTCCACAGTTCTGTCAGCTCCCACTCTCTTTGCTCGATCGAGATATCCGCAGAGTTGCGACGTTCACATGGTATTGATATTTTTAGACGCACCTTACGAGCTTTGCGGGCGTAACGTTAGCGTCTGTCACTTAAAGGGGCCCTGCGACACTTTTACGGAAGCCTTATTTAGCACCAGAACGTGTGTAGCAATGATTGCTTAGACGAATGCAACAAGCACTGATGGAAATGGGTGCATGAAAAGTGAAGTTATAAGTCCTCCAAGTTCAAAACTTGAGCAGAGGACGAGGAGAAATGTTTTTTTTTCGCGTTTCACTTGCCTGCTGATGTCAAAGACCGCTTCCAATTACTGCGTGCGTCTCATAAAAACATACCAGAAATGTTACCTCATGGTGGCTTTCACACAATGCCTCCACTACCTCTCTCTTTCACTGTGTCTTTAGCATAATTACTATGAACCACGTGCGTCGGGTAGCAGACGCACCAGTGGTCACTCGTGTAATATGCATACATATGTTTTAGGTGGGTTCTCTTGTCGGCTTGTATGCAAGACGAGTTATAGAAAAACACCGCGTCCGCCGCATATCGCATTTTTGGCTCGCTAAAAACGCGGCATTCTTTTCCACTTTTAGTCACTGCCATACCATAGCCTCGTTCGCAGACTTAGTGTCGTGCTCATAGTTTTCAAGATACATCTTTTAGAAACAGTAATTATTTCTTTCTGAGACAGTACTAAAGTGTTTTTGCTGTTTTTAGCATTCACATCGTATGACCTAGCTACCATCATGTAAATATTGCACACTACTTATCGCATCAAGTCAATCAAAAGCAAACTTTGTCGTCACGCCACATGACATGACGCTACTTTCCTTAACAAAAATAGCTGATGTGTGTCACTGTAGTCCGGAAATTAAGACAATTTGTCCGTTGAATAAAAATTATAACAGTGTCAATTTTGGCGCTGCCACTTGCGCAATGCTATTGGTGAATTCTACAGTACCAAAAAAACCGAGGAAAAATGCCCCCTCCTCCCCTAGGAGAATCGCGAGAAAATTCGAATGCATTTCTTGCGCCGAAAGAGAGTACCGTTGCTGTCAGACATTCGCCTTCACAGAGTTCGGCGATCGCCTTGAGAGGTGCCCAGCCTGCAAACAGTCGAGAGTGAGGAGCGAGCGGACGGGAAAGGGGTGCGCAGGATGGAGAGAGAGCGAACGGCAAAAGAAGGAGCGGTGAAGCACTGCACCTGCCCTGTGCTTTCTCGCAACACATGCTCCGGTTGCTATGGGCGAGTATGAGCGCGTGCGCCCGCAGCTGTTGCTATATAAGAGGGAGTGAGAGCGAATAGATAACCCCGCCGGCGCGCGGACAACGCCGGATGCGTGACAGCCCAGCTAAGAAATTAATTCGCATTTGAAAGACTCCGGCGCGCGGAATCGAACGTACGATCTCTTGATTGTGAGTGCATGGGGTTAGCCACTGAGCCTCGAAGGAGTACCTTCTTCGATGTTCAAACAGTAAGCTCATCGACCGCCACTGGCGGTGCCCATCTCGGGGAAAATATTGTTTTCAGCATTACCAGCGAGATGGTGCAATAATGCCTAGTTCGCACTGAAACATCCGCTTTCTACAGCGACCGAAATTCCCCTGCCGCCGAAACGCAGCGTCGTTCGCACTGGACGCGCCCCGCGCCGCCGAATATGCCATCTACTACAGGGCGAACGCGGGATGGGTGCGCTGTCACCAGGTTCTTGTCGCGGCTCGCAAACGCCACTACGCTATCCGGTGGTGTATACTTCGACGATTCTCGTACGCAAGAAAAGACAGTACTGCTTACTTTGCTGACAAGTGGCTGTCTTGTAATGCACGAAGAGCAGAAAAACCACCGACGCCAACGGCGTCGGTTGGTTCGTTTTGCTCTGCAAGACCGCAACAAGCTCGGTCACCTCTTTCAAGAAATACGGAGGTGAAGTAGGCGTAGAGAAGGTTAAACTCCCGTTGGTTTCAACATTCAGTTACGTGCACTGCGGCATAACAAGTGAGTAGGGCTTGGCCGCCATTTTTCAAAATTCCTTGACTAGCGCTCCTATTGGTCTGCGGTGACCTATTCGGCGGCAGAGGCCGCAAAAATCGGTCCGAGAGCGATCGGCGCGGAGAGGGCCCTTTCGGCGGATCTCGCCGCCGCCGAACCGGATTCGGAGCACTTTCGGCGGCCGGAATGCTCAGTGTGAACGCGGCCTAAGAGTGCGTCGCCAGATCTCCATGACGCCTGCTGGCGCGTGGACGCTGCGGAAAACGCCGGATGTCTACATAGCCCGACTAAAAAATGCGTTTGCATTTAAAATACCTGCTCAAATTATGTCGCAGGGCCACTTTAAAGGAAGGCCACGAGAGATTAGCGTACGACGCATGCGCAGTTGCGGAAAACGCAAAGTTTGCTTTACGCTATCCTATAAAAACTATTATGACGACGATCCATTTACCACGTTCCTAAGAGTCTGGCGAAATGCAGTCTAATGACAACTCTTGTGAATAAATATTAAGGACTCAACCCTCAACTTACAACTTTATTTGAAAAAAAAATCCTTTTTATATGCGTGCAGACATGAGCGCTATTCCAGTTGTGCAGGACATGGTTGAACGATTGCACACTTAAAGCATCATGCAAGCAACTAAGAAAAATCACAGTATGTCTATGGAGTGAATGATGAGTCAGGCGAAGCTTCGAAGTCTTTTATCGGCAAACCGTGAATCATCCGCTGGCTGCGCCCGCCTGTCTGTCTGTACGTATGTCCGTCTGTCCATCCGTCCGCCGTCAGTCTGTATGTCCGTCGATCCGCTTGTATGTCCGTCCGTTGATCTAGTGAACACTCCAAGTACCGCCATCTCGCATCTTTTCATCTCCACGCAACGATACATCATCATCATGCTTCATCATATACAAGTACCGCCATCCAGTGGACTTTCCGAGGACTAAATCGATAGGTGGCTACTACCAGAGTCCTTCTGCTACTACTTACAGGAGACGCACTACCCGCGCTTTAAATGGGCTCTGAAACACTTTTTCAAGTAACCATGGGTTGAAATGGCTGAATGAACTTATTGCCTCGCGAATTCAACGCCGCAAGAATTTTAAGAATCCGACCAGTGCGAGTGGAGTTACAAAGGTTTGTCGCATGCTGCAATTGCATTCTCTCTTCTCTCGTTCCGACGAAAGCGCTGGAAGCTAAGCAGGGATAGAATTACTGTATAAGCTACTCTAAGCAGGGAGGGATGGCAGGGCCACAGAAAAACGCCACGCGCACTTCACGACCTTGAGCACTTTTCTTTTTCTTCAAAATGAGCTGCTTTTTCACTGTGATCGCGCGTGGACAAGTAGCGGCCTCCCGCGGTGGGGTTTGTAACGAGTGAGCGCGCTATGTTCACAAATCAGCCAATGGCTGATAGATGAATTGTTGACGTGTAATTTTTTGGCACATAACGTGATTTGTTGAGAGAAGAGAAAGCAATTTTTAGCTGATGTTGCTAATTTATTGTGAACTCCAGGCAAACGTTGCTCCAAGCCGCGTGCTGGGCTATAATACTTGGCTCGCGTGTTGTCCGGAGCCTCAACTACCGATTGGCAGCGTTTTCTGACCAGGCACAAAAAGTGCTGCAGGGCCCCTTTAAGAAGCTTCGTTTCTGAAAAAATGCACTTCAAGTTTGCGCAGGGTGACAGACTGATACACACATCTAGTTTAATATTGATAAAACGAACCAATAACACGTTCTAGTAAACTCGTGTTCTCTGTTAACGTCAGAATGCGTTCGTGTACGCGGCATACGCGAAACCATGGTCCTATTTAACTGTTGCGCAGTTGTATTGCGTTTCCAATACGCCCCTTGCCCGTCTAAGTTGATCTGAGCGTCGCTACTGCGCAATTTGCAAGGCGCGTAGCCGGATCAAATG